GCCCCATACAAAGATATTTGAACACTGATGGACACAAAATATGTTATTTATTGTCAATTTCTGCAAAGACACATTTAAGCAACAAAATATACATTTCTCAACCTTTTAGAATTTGTTTTATACATTAACAAATACAATGTGCTACCATAGCAATAAATTAAATGTACACTATTTACATTACAGAGGCAGTCGGGGTCTACAAATCACCTCCTCGCTAAGAGGAAAGAAAGAAAAGTCATCATCACATGGATCATCACTTCCAAGCTACAGTTCTTAGGTTCTATCACACAGAGGAATCTCTTCACACTTGGACGTCAGCACTCCCCAAGCTGGAGTGTCGAAGAGTCGCACCCGTTGCAAGGGGGAGTTGGCACACATGCTAAGGAGAGGGAAGGAAGGGTTCACCCTTCTGAGTGGAAATGTCACAAAGTCAAAGACGATGGCAATTATATTCCAGTCTTCCAGCCAAACACCCTCTCCCCAGGGCCAGTAAGGCACCAGACAGAGCCACTGCCCCAAGAGCTTCTCGCTGGGCACAGCTCTGCTGCCTTTGGCCCTAGCAAGGGGGATCTTCTTCCTCCGAAAGGGGCACATGGCCCAGGCAGAAGAAGAGAGATGGGGAGATGTAGGATTGGAGCGGGCAAGGGGCCACTGATATCAGAGCGTGGTAGAAATGTGTTGCAAATGCTCCCTGCCAGGCTGCAGGGACAGCCTTGGCAAACTTTACCGACCCACCCTCTCCTTGATAAGGGGCAGCTAGAGGCTGGGGAGGAGCCATGGGTCCTGAGCATGGCAGACTGGCCTGGTACCTAGCAGCCACGTATAGCCATAAGATTTACTTGAACCCCGACTACTGAAAACAGATCTGTCTCTACTGACTTAGAAATGAATGAAAAAGGTAGTGTTTGAGTTGGCACCATAAAGGGTCGGGGTAAGAACGTGAAATAGGCTCTTATCCTTTCTCATCACTTGTGTCTAGCTTTTTCTTAACCTCCTTCATTTAAGAATCAGGGAATGACACGAAGTTTTCTTTTGCCACTTTTCTTGTTAATTTAGTAAAAGGACACCAAGGCTTAACTGCCTCTGAGCCTGGCCTCTGCACTCATTACAGGTTAGAGTTGAAGAACCAATGTCACCAGGGCAAAGTTCACTGGAATCCCATTCTCTCTTTATTTTCTTTGCTCAAGCTGCATCCAAAACCCAGGGCCTTCATGGAAAATCCCAAGAGAATATCCCTCCTGATGGAAAAAAAATGAAAAAACAGAGACTACAGCACCCCTGACTACTGACACCTCCCTGCCCGTGCAGAGGCCCAGCCAATGGCTTCCTCACAATCCAGGGCCCCAGGAAATATAGTCACTTATTCAATCAACTAGGCAGGTGGTGCAGAGGAAAGGATGCTGGGTTGTGGGTTTTAATCCCAGCTTTGCCACTAGCCGGCTATGTAACCTCAAGCAAGTTTTTTCCCCTCACTAGGGGTTTCTCATCTGGACAATGATGTGGCTAGATGAGATGCTGAAAGGGGCATTTACATGATGCTGACAAAGCTGGACTACAGACTATATTTCAAGAAATGCCATTTTACATTCATTAGCACAGACAGAAACTGGTTAAAACCTTCTACCTCAAGCTTTTCTGCATCTGTTTTTAAGCATCAGCTGAGCTGGTGTAGGTACCAAACGGTGCCTGAAAAGTAGTTTCTGCAGGGAGTGGGGCAATCCCAAGCCCCACAAGAGATGTGTCCAGCATCTCTTTATGGAGATCACAGTGGAAATGCCTCAAATACCAGGGTGAGCACCATCTAGATGAGGCTATCACAGGGTGGATGAGGCTTGAGCAAATCTTTGAGCCCCAAAGCTGGGCACAGCAATAAAAGAAAAGACATTCTGGATCAGAGCAGACACAAGTAGAGCATGGGGGAAGCAGCTCTCCAGGCACCAAACTGCCTATGCCATGGCCCAAAGGAGCGAGGGGAGACTGGGCCATCTTTGTTCCCCTCCTCCCCCTCAGCAAAGGGACCTTGGGTGGGCTAGAAGTGTCACAGGTAAGCTAGAAGTACACATTCTAGAAGCCACAGGATGAACCTTCTGAACATGGTGAGGCATGGCCCGGAGAGAAGAGGTGCTTCACAGCCTGCTCAGAGCACTCCAGTAGCAAACCAAGGGTGAAAACCACACCTCAGGACTGCCTCTCAGGGGCCAACACCTGTGCCTCTCAGGTCCTCTGGACATGCTCAGCCATCCTGCTCACCAGCTCAGAGGCAGGGGCAAAGCCCTCCTAGGAGGTAGGGGGCTGCAGGGGAGCAGCCAGAGCAGTGGGAATAGAGGGGCAGGAGACTGACAAATGGGACAGCATGGGGACAAGCTAGAAACCCCAGGACCCCAGGCCATGCGGCAACAAGGCACAACCAGGTGACAAGTGCCTACAGACCCACAGTTGCAGAGACCCAAGCAACTGTAAACCTAGCTACTCAGAGAGGCAAGCCAGAGCCCTGCAACAGTTTTTAAAGAAATGCAGTCTGACCTTTCAAGTTCCTTCAGAACCCAGCCAACAAAACGTTGCCAGGATCTGCAGCTCTCATTCCAGCAGCGGGTGCTGCTACAGTGACTTTTAATAAAAGCTAGACAGATATTTTGTGACCTTCTAACTAGAATAAATTTTACTGGAATAGTACTTTATATAAGCACATTTCCCAGATAATGTGAGGGGAGAGGTCCCCTAGCCTGCACACAGGATCCAACAATTTCCACGTGAGTAGAGGACAAAGGACCAAAATTTCGCTCTAATGGGGAAAGTGATGGGGAAACTGTCACATTAGCAGCAAAAAAAAAAAAAAAAGTATAATATTCATATGCTTCGACTCAGTAATAGATCCAGATCCCTATGCAAATCTTTGTCATCTGCTCATTAAAGCGTCACCAGGCAGTCCTGTGCCACTGGCCCCATATGTGCCAGAATATGCAGCACCTCCAAGGGTGTGGTTTTCAAACTTTGTTTTACTTGGAGGTCACCCCGCCTAAAAACCAGCTAGGCGATTGGCAGAAACACCCTCTCACACTGCAGGCTGGGATGGGTGAGAAGCCAGAGGGGCTGCTCCTGGGAGAAGAGCTTGCCCTGAAGGTCACTCTAGCTGAGGGTACTGGTGGCACTTGACCTCTGAACCACACTCAGATGGGGCCCAGGTTGCAGGAATCCCACAGAGGTGACAAGTGCCTACAGACCCACAGTTGCAGAGGGAAAGAAGAGGATTGGGAGATTGTGCCCTAGACACAGCCAAGGGGCATGGCAGCTAGAAAGACCCTCCGAGGCAGCACTGGGCCCCCACAGATGTGAGGGACATAAGTTGCTAAGGGACACTGTTCTGGGCCTATCAGAACCCCAAGTCATCCCTTACGTCCCCTCAGCCCCTCTCTGAAGTGGTGAGTTCAACTATTTATGCCTCCCTTGAGCCTCCACAACCAGTGGAGACTCAGACCACAGCCTAACCCTCAGGCCCGGAGGTTTTCCCCAGCCTATTTGCTCTCCCTGAATTCCTTCTCACTTCTAGAATCCCACCCCTTTATGGAAAAAACATCTGCCTAAAGGAAAGAGATTGCCATGGGGCTTCTCCCACATCAAGGACAAGCAGGAGCCTTGCTGAAATTAGATGGGACAAAGAGTTCTGACCACAGTTAAGGACACACATAGTGTCCCATCCCAGACACACCAGCTCTGTCTCCAAGATCCAGCGGCCGGGCCCCGCTCACAATGCACTAGCAACAGGGATGGAGGCGGTCCTAGGCCTATATCAGCAGATGGGTGAGAAGTTCTTAGCACAGAAGCAGAAAAATGTTTCAGAGCTCCAGAGACACGAGAGCAATAGAGCCAATTTTTATCAGGACAGGCTTAGGAATGATACGAATCTTGGCTCCTAGAAAGTGGCCCCTCTTCCACTATAGAATGCACTGGAGCCAGTAAAGCCTCCTGCCTGCTGCATCCAGGGAAAGCACCATACTGTGACTAAGGACAGACAGGGCCCGCCTCTGCCAGCTACTCACCAGGGCACCCTGTCCTGCTGTTGGCCTCTGAGTCCCATCTCCCCACTCTCTGTCTCAGAAGCAGACCAGCTCCCCATTCTCTGGCGGAGCCCCCAGGACCCAGATTCCCCACGGCCCAATTCTTGTTTCCTCTGCAGACTAAACAAGATGACAAATGACCCAGATATATGTCACATCAGGAGGTCAGGAGCAGGGGCACCTCGAGGGGTGAAACTTTGTCCAGACATGGGGAGGTGCTACAGGGTGTGCTGGTGAGGGGTGGGCAGGGCCGTGGCTGGTTTGGGATATTGGGGCAGACAGCGGGCCTGGTGGGCAGGTGGCCAGTGAGGAATAGGCCTGCCACGGTCAGAGTAGTGGATGGCACCCCCAAACTGCCAGAATAGGAGCCTTTTCCAGGACAGAATCAGGGCATCCCTGGAGGAGACAAAGAGGAAAGAGATGATGATCAGACATTCAGTAAAGGAAGGAGAGAGCACAGACACAGGCAGGGCGGACCACAGGCCAGAACAGTGGGGAGTGTACACACGCAGGGCCAGGGCCCCACTGAACACCTCAGGACGAAGCGGGCACAGGATACAAGGGTACCAAAAAGGCTGGGTATAAACAGTGGCATCTGAAGTACACAGTGGGAGGTGGAGGTAGATGTCCACATTCCTGTTTCGTCTTCTATCTTTTCATAAATAGGTTTAACATAAAGTGAGCTCCGCTGTACCCCTCCCCTCAGTTCTAACTGTGACTCACACTCCTGGGCCACCATGTGAGAGAGGATCGGGGATGTGGACAGGTCTCTTGTGACTTCACAAGCTGGAGTTTAGACTTTGATGCTGGTGAGCTGGGCCCATGCCTGTTTTGCTGAAACCACACCATCCCCATGGCTGAGGCCAGGAGCAGAGGCTTCCTTAGGTTAGCCCCTCACAGTGTGGACTGGCCAGGGGCATCTGTTGGTCTATAGGAAGGGTGCACCTAGCCTTGGCCAAAGACACAGGAGGGAGAAGCTGCCTGAGAGCAGGGACACAGGGGCAAGTTGAAGGACTGCTCCATCCAGGGAAGGAGGTGAGCTCTGGGCTTCAGCCCCTTCTCCCTGCTGGATCCAGATTGCCTCCAGTGGAAGGAGAAGGAGGAAGGCCAGCTTACTGAGTCTGGTCTGATCCTGTGGGACAGTCCTTCCTACTGCATCCAGGCCATCTGAGAGGCCATCTAAGAGGCTTCAGGGATGAGGCAACTGTTTGGACCTACCCCCAGCTGGTAGGATCTCTCTGGCTACTCTTAGGTTACAAGGTCTCTAGTCACTTGACTAAAGGAACACACTTTTCCCTGATGGCCACAGCAGGACACACACTCACTCAACCCACCTTGGACAGGCGAAGGACTCCTTCTTCACATTAGTGACCCTGTTTCCAAAAAAATCCACAGAAGAGTTTTAAATGACAAAACAACATAACCCCTTCCGACTGCAGCTTCTGTGCACTCAGCTCCCAACAATCTGATGAGCTTAAGAAGGGGCGTGGCTCAAGCCCCAGGAGCCAACAGTTCATATCTGGGAGTGGCTGTGCTCATAGGTGCAGCTCTAACTCAGGAGGTGTGGCAAAGGCCACTGGCTGGCCACCTCCTGGCTGAGGCCTGCCCCAGGTGGAGACAGATCTAAAAAGACCTCTCCTTCCCCTGCTTCCTTCAAGAGGCCCCTCATGGGATATCTGAGGCTCCTTCCTCCCCCAGCCTGCAGAAGAGAAGGCTGGTATTTAGAGGTCAGTGGAATGTGGAATATGGGAACCCTTTCCCCATCCTTACCGCACCAGAGCTGGCATGGCTGAGCTTATCAAAGCGGAATTTCAGGTTTGATCTCGGGGAGTTTCTGCCTTTGGCATCTAAGACAAAAAAGAATGCCCATGAAAAGAGGGTGGAGTGGTAGAGGTCACTAGGCCTGCATGTGGGGACTAGGTATCCGAACTGACCTGTACTCTACTTGAGCCAGAGCCAACTCGTAAATTTTGTTGTGAGTTGGCTGTTAAAGACAGGCCTTTTTAAAAATCAGGTTATATAAGATCATAATTAACTTATATTCAACAAAGGTAATAAATACTCAAAATTCATCATTTGCTAGTTATTATTGTAATCTAGGTCCATCCGCCAATTGTACCCGCACCCAATGATGTGCATCTCTTCCCAATGCCATGTTCAGTGATGACCTAGTAGCTTGGGATCAGCCATGATAGGAGAATTTACACCACAAGAATTGGCAAATGCTATAACTCAGCGTTTGATTTGTTGTTTTGTATCTAGACTGGAGAAAATAACCATGCAGATTATACTTGAAAATGTGTTATACCTGTACCCATCACACCATGAATAGCACACACAAAAAAACCTGAGTAAATATTCTTCCAGTATTTGAAAACTATTATCTGATTCAGCAAAGAGGTTGCTCATGTCACTGACTAAAAAAAAAAAAATTCTCTTAATAGAAAGTGCTCATTAACACACATGATAATATCAATCCACATTCATGTCAGAATTACACTTGTCATCTGCCACCTTAAGTTGGCAACAAATACAAAGATTAAGCAAATAAGGACAAAAGTATTTTGTGAGAATCAATTGGACCTATGGGATTCACGGTAGGAAATGTATATTTTATCGCTATTTGTAAAGCCGTGTGCTTCATATCCATTATTATCACTAAAATTTACAATAAACATGTATGTGTACACACACATGTGTGTTTATGTATGTTTAGTGAGGGAGCTCACTAAACATTCACCACTACACCACCTGCAGGAGCCCACTTGACTTTCTGGTTCTCCTCTGGCCAAAGGAATCCACAGCTCAGTGCAAATCCTCCCGGAAGCTGTTAATTCTTGATGCTTCAAATGAAGGGGTTCTACCCAGGGCTATGATGATTGACCCTGCCAATCCTCCTCTGGCCAGGGAAAGCCCAGGTGTGTAATGACTGATGATCACCCATCTGAGATTAGGGTAGATTATGAAAGGCCTTCTCAGGCCTCCTCCCTCCTCCCCACCCTGCCTCTCTCCAGGCTAAACCAAACAGTCTAAAGCAGGTTTCTAGACCCTTCCAAATCCACCCTGAACCTGCATGTACCCAGCATAACTGCATGAGGACTGGGGACCAAGAGCAACCCATCAGGGTTAAACTCTGCATGGAGGGAAGCTGTGTGGAAAGGAGCACCACTGTGTGAGACAGTAAGCACTGGGCAAGATTACCAGACCTGTTCAAGGTCACCGTCTGCCCTGGGTGGACTTCTACAACTTGCAGACACTCTCTAAACCTCCCTCACTCAAAACTTTATTTATTTTGATATTTATTTAACAGTAAGCAGGAGCCAGGCTTGGTTACAAATTCCTCCATTTACTCCTTCAATATTAAATTGTCTTGTAAAAAAAAATCTGGGAATTTGTATTCCTACTCCATTTTACAGATGAGGAAACTGAGGCTCAGAGAGGTATGCTTGTCAATACCGTAGATAAGATTAGAACCCACTTCCACAGCTGCCCAACCACAGCGGGTGTACGAGAGGAAGTGCATGAGCTGACCCACGTACACGGAAGCACTAACAAGAAGGACCATTGCCTTTAGAACCACGATCTTCCCCCTTTCCCCTGACCTTGTACATTCCCTTTTGCCAACACCCCTTCACTGTGAGAACCCCAGAAACACTTGGGCTGAAGTTACCCTGAAGGTCTACTGGCCTTTCCTGAGTTTCCATCATTTAGAGTTTCTCAAGTTACTGACATTTTGGGCCCAATAATTTTTTTGAGGGGGTGGGCAAGGGGCCTGTCCCATACGCTGTTTAGCAGTATCTTTGGCCTCCACCCACTTGATACCAATAACAACCCCACACATGTAATCATGAAAATCAAAAATGTCTCCAGATATTGCCAAATGTCCCCTGGGGAATAAGGCTGCCCCCAGTTAAAAGCCACTGACTACAATATTGTTTTATTCCAGTTATTTAACAAACACTTAGGTAAACAGTTCTACATCTCTTACAAGCATAAACTCACTTAATCTTCACACAACCCATCCTCTGGGGTATCTACTACTATTCCCTTCCCTTCATTTCTGCTTGGAGAAACTGAGGCACAGAAAGGCCCAGGGACCTACCTAACATCACAGCACTAGGGATGCAGATCCAAGACTAGACCCAGACTCCAGAGCCCTGCACCTGCCCCCTGTCATGCTGTCTCCTGGAGGGCAGGGACCACACCTCTAATCCATGGGCACCTGCGCGTAATGCCTGCCACCAGGCCCACGGAGACGGCTCTCAGGCACCAGCCCCTGCCCTCTCCCCAGAGCTGGCTCCTCCTCTGTCCAACCGCAGGGATCACAGAACCCCAAGAGGCCCAGACATCTGTCTGCTCACTCTGAACCTCAACCCCTGAGCCCACTAGGTTTTACCCCTCTGACATCCCCTGAAGGAACATCCTTCTCCCATGGCCCTGTCACTCCTCACTACCCCTCTGTGACCTCTGTCTGCACCCACTGCTGTTACCCACTACTTTCTATACTCAGCAGCTGTAGCCACCAAAATGGGCTCTCCCGACTACATACAGTGCTTCTTTGCTTACGATCCTGCAAAGACCTCCAAGCCTCCAGCAGGTTTTGCTGCCAGAAAAGAGAACACCAAAATCTTCGCCAGGGTACCCAGGGGGCCTCTGGCCTGTCCTTGCTCTAACCTCTCACTCTTCTCTCAGGCCTGCCATCTGGGAATTCCCACTGCACTGAACCGCAGGCAGCTCCAGAACACTGGGCTCTTCCTCTCCTCCGGGCCATCCCACACCTCCCCACCCCTGCCAACAGCACTCTCACCCCTCACACTCGTATGGTCAGGAGCATTGCCACAACTGGGGTGGGCAGAGGAATCAGCAGAAAGCGCTCAGCTTCCCAACCACTCAGTCCTGAATCCTCCCCGATGGGATCTCTGGCAAACCATTCGAGTCCCAGAGCCTCGGATTTCCCACACACGAGGAGAGGGTATGAACACAGGCCTCTTAAGGCTGACCAGTAGACAAAGTGAGCGAGCACAGCTAAGGGCCCAACACCTTGGAGAAGGAGTGAAAAGTGCCAATTCAGCATGCCTGGGGCACAAGCCCCATGAACACTGGTCAGGGCACAGGCCTGCCTTCCCAGCTACATTGTGCATCCCTCCAGATGCCACTGACCCGTGGGACTCCGGCTCATGATGACAGGGGTGGCCACTGCCCCCAGGCTGGGGCTCTCGCTGCTCGGGGACGGGCTGTAGACAAACACCTCCTGCTTGAAGGGCGAGGTTGTAGATGGCTGGCTGCTCTGGGGAGAGAGGCCGGGTGAACAAGGCCAGCCCACCCTCAGCAACCCCACAGGGTGACCCCCACCAAGCCTAGGATGGCCACTGTCTCCCATCCCCTGCATAGACCTGCTCTTTCCTTCCTGCTACCTTCAACCTTGACTCTGGCCCCTCCTCACCGTACAGTCAGGAACCCCACAGTGAGAACACTACTCAGTCTGGCCCTGGCCCTCTGCCATTGCTGTTACAGCACTCTGAGTGAGATCCCCTTCAGCCACTACTTCCAAGGGTCGTGATGGCTTGGCCAACAGGGCACCACTCCTGCCTGCTCTTCCTTTTTTATCCACAGACTGAAGCCCAGATCCACCCACAGCAGTTGTTCTAATGTACAGGGGCCCGTCCCAGGCTGGACACACAAACCTACCCCACTGTCACCCTCCTCTGTGGCCTCGCCCTCCCCTGCAGTGCTGCTGAAGCTACTGGTGCTGGAGGAGGAGCGGGAGATGTTGGCTCGACCATTCTCCTTCAACTTTATGAAGGGCCTGCAGGGAACAGGAAGCGAGGCAAGGCCTGGTCACATCCTGAGGGCCCTCCACCCACGTGCCCTCTCTGGAACCAAGGAGAGTAGCCCCAGGGGAGTGCTGAGCTTGCCCACTGGTGACTCCCTGTGCTCCTGCCTTCTGGCCTCTATGTTCCAGAGGGTTCCAGAGGCAAGAGATGGTCACTCTCAGCTTGCCTGGAGGCAGATAGCATGTTCTGTGCTCCCAATGGCTCCAAACGGCTCAAGCCATGCTTCCCCTCACCCATACTTACTTCTCTTTGTTAGGGCAGATTTCAGGAGAGCTGGGGTTGGATGAAGTCTCAGACTTTATCTCCTGAGAAGAGTGTCCTCCATCTGGAGTCTTGGGGGTGCTGGATGTGCTGTCACTGAGGGAATACATAGGAGTGAGGCCAGGCTATGGAGTCAGTCCCCAAACCCCTATCCCAAGTCCAAGCCCAGGGTGAAGCCTTTGCTATAGCTCTCAGCACTGTGGGCTCAGAGTGCCCCACCAAAGCCAGCTGCTGGGACTTCCTTCCCACCCAAGTGCCCTAAAACTACAGCACATAGCAGGGCTTTCCACTCCCTAGAGCAGGGCTATTCTAGGTTCATGTATGAAGCCCAGAGATGACAAGCAGGGGCCCCGGCTTCATGGCCTCCAGCCCAAGTCTATGCCTCATTCAAGCTGGTCATCCACCTGGCAAAGCTCAGAGCCACACAAGGAATGGAGCATGGCTGTGACATCTACCCCGACAGCAGGGAACAACCCAATAAGCACAGATTCCCACACATGCCAGGAAGGTGGCTCTCTCTGGAGCCCCAGGGGACACCCTTCAGGTGGACTATAATATGAACTCCTGGGCTCCTGTGACGAGGCAGCCCTGGGTGCTAGGAAGCAGAGGGCTATCCTCAACCCAGACATTCATGAGTTTCCTTCTCCTGTAATTTAACAAAGACCTCATACTGGTGCCCACCATTTTACCCTGTGTTAATGGGGATGTTATGGCCCTGTCCTCAATGCACTTTTTGAACAATGGGATTATTGAGATATAATCCACATACCGCACAACTCACCTATTTAAAGTGTACAGTTCAATGCTTTTTATAATCCACATACCACACAACTCACCTATTTAAAGTGTACAATGTATATGCTTTTTAATATATTCACAGAGTTCTGCAACCATCACCACAATCCAATTTTAGAACATTTTTGGCTCCCCTAAAAGCAGCCCTGGACCAGTTTGCGATCATTCCTCATTCCTCCCTCCCCCCACCCATCCCTAAGCAACCACAGTGGATTTGCCTATTCCAGACATTTCATATAAATGGAATCATACAATATGTTATAGTCTGTGTGCCTGGCTTCTTTCACTTAGCATAGCATTTTCACGTTTCATCTAAGTGGCAGCACATATCAATACTTCACTACTTTTTATTACCCTCCCCAAACTCCATTTTAAGGATAAACCATATTTTATTTATCCATTCATCAAACAATGGGTATTTGGATTCTTTCCAGTTTGGGCTATTATGAATAATGCTGCTATGAACATCTGCACACTAGCTTTATTAGTGTACTCATTTTCATGGACAATTGTTTTCTTTTCCTTGTTATATACCGAGGAGTGGAACTGCCATGTCATATTGTAACTCTATGTTTAACCTTCTGAGGAACTGCCAGACTGTTTCCCAAAGCAGCCACCCTACTTTCCTACCAGACATAAACAAGGGTTCTAATTTCTCTATATCCTCTCTGGCATTGGTTATTATTTGTCTTTTTGATTATAGCAATTCTGGAGTGTGAAGTGTCTTGATGCACTTTGGATGAGGTTCCTAATAGCCTCCTGTCAACCGCACAGGGGTGTGGGTCACCTCACTGGAGTTCTCTGCACATCTGATGCTAATGTCCTCCCTCCTGGAATTTCTCTTTTCCAGGTGCTCCTCCTCTCTCCGCTCTCCTTCCCAGCCAGCTTCACCAGCTCTTCCTTCTCCCTTTGCTGTTAAACATGGTGCTGTACATACCTTGTCTGGGTGGTCATATCATTAACCCATCTTTAACCAGCACCTCAACCCCAAGGCCTCTCTCCCAAACTCAAAACCTGCAGTTCTGATCACTCTGGTGGACATCTCCAGACACGACCCCTGAAGACTCCCATGCACGGATTCCAAACAGCTTTTCATTCTTTCTTCTCCTCCTTTAACCTGTCTCTGTCCTACCTGCCTAGCTCAGAAGATGGAGCCATCACCCAGGGCTATAGACAGAAGATTTGGAAACCTCAAACTTAACCAAATTCCTCCTCCTTCTTCCTTATAAAACTGTAAGCTTCTAGAGGATAGGTTTGTATCTTTTGTGGCACTTGTCTCAGCACTCAGAGCTGTACCTAGCACGTGGCAGACACTCAATAAATGCTGCTTGCCAAAGAAAGAACAAATGTGCTCGCCAGTTAAAAGAATGAGAAAGCATCAAAGCCAGACAAGGACACAACAAAAAAAGAAAACTACAGGGCAATATCCTTGATAAACATAGATGCAAAAATCCTCAACAAAATATCAGCAAACAGGATTCAACCATACATTATAAAGATCATTCAAAAACTACCTAATAGGTACAGTGAGCACTATATAGGTGATGAGGACACTTACAGCCCTGACTAAAGCACTATAAAAACTACCCCTTTGTAACAAAAACATTTATACCCCCTTAATATGTTTTCTAAGTATGTGGATATTGTAAAAAAAAAAAAAAAAAAAAAGCGAAATTCCCTTAAAAGATTGGAAAGAAATACCCTAAAAAGTTAGAATTATGGATTACTATTTTCCCCTTTTAACATTTGGTTTAATTGTATTAATTTTGAAAAGATAGGGGGTGGCACCTGTGGCTCAGTGGGTAGGACGCCAGCTCCATATACCAAGGGTGGCAGGTTCGAACCCAGCCCTGGGCAGCTAAAACCACAATGACAACTGCAACAAGAACAACACACACACACAAAAAAAAAAAATCCAGGCATTGTGATGGGCACTTGTAGTCCCAGATACTGGGGAGGCTGAGGCAAGAGAATCACTTAAGCCCAAGAGGTAGAGGTTGCTGTGAGTTGTGATGCCACAGCACTCTACTGAGGGTGACAAAGTGAGACTCTGTCTCAAAAAAAAATTTTTTTTGAAAAGATATTAAAAATAAAACTTATGATTAAAAAATAAGTTCATTCACCATGATCAAGTAGATTTATTCCAGGGAAGCAAGGACGGTTTGACATATGTAAATTAATAAATGTGATATAACATATTAACAGAATTGAAGACAAAAACCATATAATTATTTCAATAGATGTGAAAAAAGTATTTAACAAAATTCAACATCCTTTATGATAAAAACTCTCAACAAACTGGATATTGAAGTTGGGTATATCTCAACACAATAAGCCATATATGACAAACCCACAGCTGACCTCATACTAAATAAAGAAAAATTGAAAGCCTTTTTTCTACCATCTGGAACAAGATAAGGATGCCCACTTTCGCCTACTTTTAGGTCAGAGCAATTAGGCAAGAGAAAGAAATAAAAGGCATTCAAAATGAAAATGAAGAAGTCAAATTATTCTTTGTTTACTTAGAAAAACATATAGATTCCACCAACAAACTTTTAGAAGTGATAAATTCAGTAAAGTTGCAGGATACAAAATCAATATACAAAAATCAGTAGCATCTATATACACCAACAGTGAACAAACTGAAAAAGAAATCAGGAAAGCAATTTATAACAGCTACAAAAAATTCAAGATACCTAGGAATAAATTTAACCAAAGAAGTGAAAATCTCTATAAGCAAAACCATAAAACACTGATGAAAAAAATTAAAGATGACACCAAAAAATGGAAAGATAGCCTATGCTCATAGGTTGGAATAATTAATGTTGTTAAAATGTCCATAATACTCAAAGTGACCTACAGATTCAACGAAATCCCCATCAAAATATCAGTGACATACTTGATAAAAATAGACAATCCTAAAATCTATATGGAACAACAATAGATTCCAAATGGCCAAAGCAATCCTGAACAAAAAACTAAAGCTGAAGATACCATGTTGCCTGATTTCAAAATATATTACAAGGTGATAGTAACCAAAACAGCACAGTATTGGTATAAAAACAGACAAAGAGACCAATGGAACAGAAGAGAGAACCCAGAAATAAACCCATACACTTATAGCCAAACGACAAGGTGCTGAGAACATACATCAGGGAAATGACGGTTTCTTCAATAAAGTGATGCTGGAAAACTGAATAAAACCATATGCAGAAAAATGAAACTAGATCCCTATATCTCACCAAATGTAAATATCAAATCAAAATGTATTAGATACTCGACTCGGTGCCTATCGCTCAAGCAGCTAAGGCGCCAGCCATATACACCAGAGCTGGCAGGTTCGAATCCAGCCCAGGCCTGCCAAACAAACAATAACAACTATAACCAAAAAATAGCCAGGCGTTGTGGCTGACACCTGTAGTCCCAGCTACTTGGGAGGCTGAGGCAAGAGAATCACTTAAGCCCAAGAATTTGAGGTTGCTGTGAGCTGTGACGCCACAGCACTCTACCGAGGGTGACAGCTTGAGGTTCTGTCTCAAAAAAAAAAAAAAAAATGTATTAGATACTCACATACAAGACCTAAAACTATCAAACTACTAAAAGAAAACAATGGGAAAATGATTCAGGACTCTAGCCTGGACAAAGACTTTTGGGATAACACCTAAAAACACAGGCAACAAAAGCAAAACAAATAGGATTAAAGCAAAAAGGTTTCTGTATAGGAAACAAAACAATCAACAAAATAAAGAGCCAACCTGCAGAATGAGAGAAAATATCTGCAAACCGTCATCCAACAAGGGATTAATAACCAGAATATATAAGAAACTCAAACAACTCAATAGCAAAAAAAAATCCAATTTTTAAATGGGCAAAAGATCTGAAGAATACACATTTCACAGAAGATGTGTAAATGTCTACAAGTTGTATGAAAAATTGCCCAGCATCACTAATTCATCAGGGAAATACAAATGAAAATCACAATGAGATATCGTCTCAGCCAAACACAGTGGCTCACACCTGTACTCCCTTCCCTTTCTGAAGCCAAGGCAGGAGGATCACTTGAAGCCAGGAGTTTGAGACCAGCCTGGGCAACATAGCAAGACTCTGTCTCTCCAAAAGTAAGAAAAATTAGCTGGGTGTGGTGGCTTGCACCTGTAGTTCCAGCTACTCAGGAGGCAGAGGCAAGAGGATCTCTTGAGCCCAGAAATTCAAACCTGCAGTGAGCTATGATTGGGCCACTGCACTCCAGCCTAGGCAATAGAATGAGACCTCATCTCTAGAAAAAAAAAGAGAGAGAGAGATCATCTCACTCCAGTTAAAATGGCTTTTATCAAAAAGACAAAAAATAACAGATGCTGGCAAGGATGCAGAGAAAGGAGAATATTCATATACTGTTGGTAGGAATGTAAATTAGTACAGCAGCTATGGTGGTTCCATAAAAAATTAAAAATAGAACCTACCGTATAATCCAGCATTTATGCTGAGCATAGATCCAAAGGACTGAAATCCGTACGTCATGTCAAAGAGATACCTGTACTCCCTGCTCACTGCAGCACTATTTACAATAGCTGAGCTATGGAATCAGCCTAAGTGTCCATCAACAGACAAATGAAGGAAGAAAATGGGTTACATACACACAATGGAACATTATTCAGCTACTAAAGAGAATGCACTCCTGTCATTTGCTGCAATATAGACAAAACTGGAGGTCCTTATATTCAGGAAAAGAAGCCAGACATGGAAAGACAAACACTTCATGTCCTCTTCCATACACGGGAGATATTAATGAAAGCACAGGGCTCGTGGAGACAGTGATTGATGCTTACTGAGTCATGGAAGGGGCAGAGGTACACTATTTTAATAGGTATAAAATACAGTTAGAGCAAACAAGATCATCAAGTGTTCAAAAGTACAGTAGGGTAATTATAATTAAAAATAATGTAAAGTATAATTCAAAATAGCTGAAAGAGAAGAATTAGAGTGTTCCCAACACAAAGCAAAGGAAGCCATCTCCAAAGCTGAGCATAGGTCTCCCCACCAGTGGGCATCTGACAGACCCCACAGTCAGGCTGGAGCAGGGAGCCCCAAGAGTTACCATCGTGTCCGGCTGTCCCCCTGGCCTTCAGAGCCCGTGTGTAGACGAGGAAAGAGCCCTGACCGCCGCTTGATGGGGCTCCGTGACTGGTTCTTCGCTGTTGCCACTGCCACCGGAGGCTGCCAATGAAATCACCAGAATGAGTGCTCCCACCCTAAACCCAGATCTCCTTCCTTACATCCCCCCTTAGAGTCTACAAATGGCTCCCAGTCTGGAGGAGACCCCAGAAAACAGAGAGAAAGCTGGGACCATGGGGATCTGTCACAGGAGCTGAGACCCCAAGGCTCAAGAAACTCATAGCCTCTTTCTCTGTATTCTTAAGCCAAGCCCCTGCCCTCAGGTAATGATCTACCAAAGACCAGAATTCTTGGAGGTCGAGGCCACTAAAAGGGGAGCCCCACAAATTGGGAAAGCCAGGATGATTCAGGGGTCACAAGCTGAGAACCCCTGGAGTGACCTAGTTCAACCTCATTTGACTGATGAGGACAGTGAAGACCCAAGAGGCAAGGTCAGGGTCATTTAACAAATCACTGGTGCAACCCAGGGCCCCTGACCCTCCATTTGTTGCTCACAGATAAATGGACTCAGGCAGGTGTCACAATAATAACATAAATGAGAGTCACAGAGTCAGATCTACATGTACAAGATAAGGGAAGCCAGATGAGAAGGTGTCCTGGCCTCACACGGGGTGGGGGCAGATGGGAGCCGAGAGCTCATCTTTACAGCCCACCAGGCTTCTAACCCAGGCCCTAACTTCTACCATGCACAAACCAGGCAACCACAGGCATGTGGTGAAACCCTAGATCACCACAGGATGGTGATAATGGCCCTATTCTGCTCACTTCATGGACCTCCTGGGAGGAAAAAGATAACAGCTATCAAAATATTTAGCAAATCAATTATGCAAGGCCATTTATAATACTAATTATTAGTATCATGGTGGGTCTAAGCTACTATTTGAAGAAAGAAGAAGAAAAGAAAATCCTCGTCTGTACAAATCCAAAGCCTCTGCTATAAAAGGACAGGCTCTATGACTCCCTCACCTCCTCAGACCCTTGTGCTAGGCCTGAAATCACACACCTGCAGGGTCCTCCCCTTCCCTGGGAGCTGGATAAAGAGCATAGACTTGGGATCAAGCAGACCTGCATTCAAATCCCAGCTCTTAAGCTAAGCTGGGTGACCTTTAGCAAGTTACTTAATCACTCTGGGCCTCCTTTTCCTAAAATTTGGACTAGAGAATAAGTACCCACCTCAGGCAGCCGTTACACGGAACAGGAGAGATCACCTGTATGGATGACTTAGTTCAGTGCCTGGAGCACATCAAGTTGCGGGTGGCTACTGCTGTCAAGGGTCCAAACACTCCCCAGGATGATTTTGTAGGGTTGGCCCAAGGATCAGGCCCAGTTGTTGAAGAAATTCAGCAAATAAAATAAGAAGGATTCTCCTATGAGCCAACCCCAGGGGGGCCATCGGGGAGGGAGGCTCCAAAGGACCACTCTCAGAGGGCAGGGGCTGGGGTCACTCCCCAAGCAGCCTTGGTCTCCCTCTGCCATCCAGCTTGCCCTGTGGTTGTCACCTAGCCCAAGACTTGGGGGAGATACACCCCATAGGTCTGGGGAGGACCCCCTGGGCCCCATGTGGTACCCCAGGACCTACGGCCACTCACCGAGAAGGTGGTTTTGGTGACCTCCACACTGTTGTGAGAGATGCCCCCACTGAGGCTGCCAGGGATGGCCCCACCATGTGATTTCTTCTGGCTGCCCACCATGGTCTCCATGGAGTGGCTGCGCACACGGATAGCCCTCTGTGGGGAGAGAACAAGGACCTGAGAGTTAGCACCCAGCCCCTCCTGATGAACCTGCCCTCCCCACAGGGTCCACAGACGCAATCCTCTGCGTGTGTGTATGCACACATACACACACACAGATGTGCGTGCACACAGAGGATCACAGAGGCGCATGCCATCGCCACTGCAGTTTACAGGGAATTCTCCTGTATTCTGTCCCATGCTCTGGGCATAGGTGGAGGCGAGGCAGGGTACCAGCCAGGGGAGTCCAAAGGGTCAGGGCTACAGCTCCCCTACAGGGTGGACAAAGGTTGTGATCTTCATCTTACAGGTATGGGAAGTGAGGCTTGGAGCTCCCCAAATTTATGTGCCTCTCTAAGCTACAACTTCCTCACCTGTAACGTGGGAATTACATGTTTCGTGCAGGATCATGGTGGGGATTAAACAGTCAGAAACCTGACTGAAAGTTGACTCCCTTTTTCTAGAAGCTTTCTTCTATACTTATACCCTAGACCACCCTTTCTGCTGTCATCTGAAAGTGCAGCTTGGAATATATTTACCTTTGTTGAAACCGTGCGAGGACCCCTTACTCATCTGTGCATCAAGCTTCACAGGGCACTGCCCCTCACACTTGCAGGGGGCTCAAGACACATGTGCATCACAAGCCCAAGGCCTGATGGCTACTGAAAGAGGAGACACATGGTCCTGATCCTCTTGCTGACAGAGCCACAGCCTGGTGCAATGTCTCCTCCTCCCTCATGAGATGCAGGAATAAGTTGTGATCTGTCTAAGGCAGTCACCTGGCCCCTCCCCTGACCAATGGAACATGAAGGGATGTCTCTAAGGGCTTTGGGGAAGGCTTCTTCAATGACTCCCCCAAAAGGTATGACATGTCTGCACCTGAAATCACAGCAGCCACCTTGGGGACATGAGGGGCTAAGCCCAAGGGGCAACGTTGACAAGCCAGGGATGGCAGAGGGGAAAGATGGAAAGACCCTAGATACCAACGACCAACTGGACCATCAGCCACCTAAGTCTTCTTGCCACCGGAGCTAATAGATTTTCTTCATCATGGTGTGGGTCAGTGGAGGTAGGGTCCTCTTGGAACCCCAGCTTCACAAAACTGATGCAGAAGGACTAAAGTGTGGGTCCTACACCATCCTCTCTGGATTCATTGCCCTGCACATATAATCCTGCACTGGCTTATGCACCCAGTGGGCCAAACTACAGATGTTTCATGTGGAAGAACAAGGCCCCTCCCTCCCTGGAGGCATCCAAGGAAGAGCTCAGTCTATGGCAAGGTGGCCCCAGAAAACACTGTGAATACCACTCCCAACCTGAACAGGTCTCCCTAGGATCTCTCTAGGCCAGGAATTCTCTAAGCTTGGGAATGGCAAAGGACCCCTTCCTACCTGCCTTTCTTTCCTGACAGGGGCATATGTTCAAGGAAGAGCCTTTGTAGACAGGACAGCTTTGTTGACCAAAACGCCGTGAGCTGGTGCATAACTGGCCCTTTGTAGACAGTTCCTCAGAGAAGATAGTGGAGAACCAGGTGCAGAGCCTGGTTCATTTTGGAAAGATGTCTCTTGAGGGACATCTGCCCTTGCTCCCTCTCAAGACCACAGAGCAGAGTCTCCTAACAATGATTTTCCTGTGACATGGTAAGAGCGGCCAACACGTTCTATTCACTCCATTGCCCAAGCATCATACAGTCACATGCCCTTTGGCTGGTCAAGGGCAGGGCTGGTGTGGCAGCACACTGAGCTACCCCTGGAGCAGCAAGATTCCCTGAATGAGTTGGGTGCTGCATAAATATCAGCATCTTTGCATCCCTCCAGTGCCCTCATGCCTTGCCACCACATCAACAACAATGACATTTCAAACTAATCACTTACATTCTGATATACAGTTATGCACCACCTCACGGCATTCTGGTCAACAAAGAACTGCGTATAGGACAATGATCACATAAGATTATAATACCATATTTTGACTGTACCTTTAGATATGTTTAGGTATGTTTAGGTACACAGATACTCACCACTGTGCTACAACTGCCTACAGCATTGAGCACAGTGACATGCAGGACAGGTGTGTAGCCCAGAGCAAGAGGCCACACCACATAGCCTGGGTGTGAGTAGGCTATGCCATCCAGGTTCCTGTAAGTACAGTCCACAATGTCCACTCAACAATGAAATCTCCTAACAACACACTTCTCAGATCATAACCCCCACCACTAAGTGTCCCACGACCATACTCCTCACTGCCTCTTTCCTATAAAGGATTCAATGTGGCTATAAGCCCTGTGTGACAGTATCTAATCTAATAAGCTTCACATGCATGAGCGTGTTGAATCCTTACAACTCTGAGATGCAGAGAGGACAGGCATTTTGGATAGAAAAGGTCTTGAAAGGGCTGGGTGCCCATAGCTCAGTGGTTAGGGCACCAGCCACATGCTCCAGGGCTGGTGGGTTCAAACTGGCCCAGGCCTGCTAAACAAACAAACAAACAAAAAAAAAAACTGGGCATTGTGGCAGGGGCCTGTAGTCCCAGCTACTAGGCAAGAGAATCACTTGAGCCCAAGAGTTTAATGTTGCTGTGAGCTATGATGCCACGGCACTCTATCGAGGGTGACAAAGTAAGACAAAAAGAAAGAAAGAAAAGAAAGGAAAGAAAGAAAGAAGTCTTGAAAGGTAAATGGCTGTCAGGAGGCTACCTAACAGATAAGAGATGGAACCAGGATCCAAACCCAGGGCCCTGGGCTGCAGATAAAAGTGTCCCTCTACCCCCCAAAACAATTCAGATTGAAAATATAATTCAACTGGCTGACAAACTAAAGATGACTAGAATCCAGGAATTTTCAGGGCCCCCACCAAAAAATAAAATTAAAAAATATTTCAGAGGCTAAAATCAGGGAAGACGCCAGCTCCTCAAATAGAGTATTGGTGCTCTGTCAGGCCAGCGAGGTAAGTGTGAGGGGACAATGGGCTGACAGGAATTCCGGGGACGTGCAGGGCAGTAGCTGCTACAACAGGAAGGGGTTCAAACTTGTCTCTTCCCATAGCTTGGTGTGTGAACCAGAGATGCAGGCTCTTGCACAGCGTGGTGATGGCCATAAGGCTGACATGAGACAAGGTGTGTCCAACACCAGAATGAGACCTGCCTGCTCAGGGTCAGCTCTCCTGCCTCACTCTTAGGGAAGGAAGGCGAAAAAAATGACAGCTACTTCTCAGCCCTACAGTAGGCCTCAATATGGATGAAACTGCCCAGGGATTCAGAGTGAAGTATTTCTTGTTTCACTTCGACACAGAATTGGACAGAGAAGCACAGGGCTTCTGACATCAGGCAGATGAGTCAGCCAAGGCCAAGAAAGGAAAGGCGGGCAGTGGTAGGGAAGGGGGCAGGAGAGAGGACAGGCATAGGAAGGCTTTGCACCAGCATGAGGAGGTCTCCAGACACTGCCTGGACAGTCCCCCACTCAGTCCCTGAACCTCCCTGGCCTAGCTTACCTCCCTTCCTCCGAGTCCCCAGGGACAGACAGCTCCTGCTTTCAAGGCTGCCTTGTTCTGACAGTGGACAGCCTGACCTTTACAAAGTTCTTCTGCATGCCAAGCTGAAATCTTAACCATTGCTAGACCTGGGAGTCTTAGAGCCGTCATTTCCCATGACTGTCCCTTGCTGCCCTCTGAGTCTGCAGCCCTCCTAGCTAACCACCCACAGCACACCCCACTGTTTTCCTTTGAGCAGTGGAGTGGGGTGCTCTCCTTGGGGGCAGTGGAGAGGCCGTGTTGCTTTCTCACTACCTGCTGACGTCACCTTGTCTCAAGTGGGGGTTTGAACAACCAGTTAGTTTGATAAAGGGAGCGATTCCCTTCCCTGCCAACAACGCCCCTCACTTCCTTACAAGTGGGTTTGGTGAGTTATTTCAATTTAACAAACTCATGGGACTTAAAACAAGGAGATGAGCCCCCGGGGGGACATGCTTATCAGAGCCAGGTGAGAGAGGTGAAGCCCTCATAAATGATACTAATTTCTTGCCTGTGAGATGGCTTCTAATCAGGGAGCACTTTGAGGTCCAGCATGGGGTCTTCTGTTCCTCTAGCAGGGCAAATACAGGACAGAGGCTGACTTTCCACTCTGACAGACCACAGCTCCAACCGATGGGTTGAATAGGCCAAGAGTAAGATCAGCTCTCTCTCAGTGGCCCTGTAAGGCAGTGTGGCCACCTTGACACCACAACTTTCTGTCTCAGGGAATAGGAGACAGGCAAGGATTCTGCCTGAGCCCCTGCTGGGCTCCAACCACCATCTCTGACACTGCCTGGGCTGCCCCTGCCTGTAAGTAAGTACCTTGGAGCCACAAAGACTTTCCTGGGATCTCTGCAGTCTCTCCTGCCACTAGGGGTCAGGTCAGACCAATGCATTAACTACCACAGTCCCTCAAAGGCTGGGAGAAATTAACCTGAACATTCCCTAGGTGAGTGGCCTTCTTCTCCCTGGTCTTACATCCACTTCTCGATCATGAGGTCAGTGGAGGGCTGGGCTACCCTGATGTTTCTCAAAATGTAGCACACATGTGCTTTTGTCCTTATGTGGATATGTCAAGTATTGTCACTATTGCTTTTCACAGCATAAGAGACTATTAAAAACCTCATCAACAGCAGAGCTGACTTAGTCTCTTGCTGAGGTGAGTAATGCACAGCTCCCTCGTAAAGAAAAATGCTATGGGGGCAGCACCTGTGGCTCAAAGGAGTAGGGCGCTGGCCCCATATGCAGGAGGTGGCAGGTTCAAACCCAGCCCCCGCCAAAACTGCAAAAAAAAAAAAAAGAAAAAAGAAAAAAGAAAGAAAGAAAAAGAAAAATGCTCTTGCAAGACTCCCAAGAATACATCCACATACCCCCAACACCAGTGGGCCCATGGACCATATCTGCAGCACCGATTTCATATCCTACCTATTGATTCCAGAGAAACATATTGTAATTGGGGGTTATCACTGCAAAATCCTAGTCTTTATAATTGGAAATTCTTTTTAGATCATCTAAGTGAAAATGCAAACTTTAAAAGTATTTGTAGAACTAGCAGAGTCCTGAGAATATCTCCCCAAGCAGCTCAGTCTGAAAGTAGGTCTAGATGTCCATAAACCAACTGTTCTGTGTCTTTGTGGAAGAAAAACTTCCAGTACAACCAGGAGAACTGAAGCAAGAGGTGACGAGCTGCTCTGAGCTGTGTGAAATGCAGGGTGGCACAGCCTAGGGCAACGGTGGGTCTGCTCCTTCGGAGACAGGCAGAAGGTCGCATGCTTTGGGAAGAGGTGAGGGGATGCCCGGCAGGATCGCTTTCAGCTCTGAGGACTCTCTCTCAGTTTCTCATCTCCTGTGAGATGAGAACTTTGACAGGAAGGAGATAAAACACACCACTTTTCTTCCTGAAATCATTTGAGATACCAGTTCTATTAAAAAGGACTCCGTGGAGGTGTGGGTGAACCCCACAAAGAATCCCAAGAATGCTAACACCACAGCACCACCCAAAATGCCCAAGGAGAAATACTAAAGTTGGTTTCCTGAGCTGGGCCAGACACTCTGGCCTGGCCACAGGTGTGGCGTAAGCATCTTCCCAACTGGCCTCCCCTAAACTCAGGCCTCTGTGCTTGGAAGAAGGGAGGGCTGTGATGACGGGGACAGGGGAAAAAAAGCTCATGTTCCCCTGATGGCAGGACGAAAAGCTGATCACAACTGTCAGAGTTCTGAAGGCTCACTCTGTGTGGCTGACTATGACAGTGCCCTCCCTCACCCATGGCACTGCCTTGCAGATGGTGAAAGCAGGATGGAAAAGCAGAGCTTTCATCAACCCACGGTTTTAAAGGATTTAAGGGTTGGGAAGAATCCCCTAGAATAACTGGATCAAAGATGAGTCATGATAAAGTCTCAAAGAGTCTCCTGTTTTGGAAACCCCTCTGACTATGTCATACCCCCTACAGTCAAACACAGATCAACTACTACTCCTGCTGAACAAAATGGCCTCAGGCCACTCTCCTTTGGACCTGCAACTCTCTTCCCTATTGATTGCCATGGGCAGAGTTTCCAGAGCCTACCAGCTTCACCAGGATATAAAAATACTTCAAACCTGAAAAAGCAATAATTAATTCCAAAATACTGAAAGAAACCTGAAAAACTTAAAACAACAAAAGCTCCACTAAACACCTACAAAACACAGTAGAACCTCTCAAACTGGTCAACATACAGAAATAGTCAGCATAAGGAACCGGGCCTCCTGTACTGATACATACATGTGGTGCACATCTGGTCTATGAAAATTAGGTCAGTTGAAGGAGGTGGTCAACTATGCAGGGAAGAGGTCAACTATGGAGGGTCTACTGAACAACATTACGTCAGCTAGTCAATTGTAGCTCAACTCTTAGAGTTTCATGTCAAGTACATTTACTGTGGGATGCTGAACATTTTCCTACACTTGAAATCAGCAGGGGCAGAGTGCCCAGTTGTGTTTAGAGGCCAGGAAGGTCTTTACATGGCCCTGCTCATCTGCCCTTCCCAGACCCAATCCTGTTTTCCTCTTGACCACATCTCACATTCACCCCCTCTTGGCTCGTCTATCAGACCTGGTTCCCTCTTTTGTCTCCTGTTCCTCTTCTCTTCCATCCCTCTTCCACCCCTCTTCCATCTTTATTTCTTAGTTCCTCCTGTTTCACCCTGGCTGCCACTGTCCATCAGGACTAAAACAGATGCCCCAGGAATTTCCCACAAGCCTGGAGAAGCAGCTCAACTCCTTTTCCCACCCCTGGGAGGAATCTCAACAGCTGGCCCCAAGTAGGGGCAGCAGAGCCATGCCCTGCTCTCTGCGGTCCAGCCAGGCGATGAAGGACTGACCTCAGGCCTGCCCAGGTCTGGGCTAGTGTGGGTGGAATCTTAAATGAGTCAGAAACCAGGAGGCAGTAGCACATGGGCGCTAAGAGCACAGAGTCTGGAATCTAGTAGATCTGGATTCAACTGGGTAACTTGGGACAAATTATTTTGTCTCTTTGCATGGTAGTTTCCTTACATGAGAAACCACATCCATAGTTAATAAAACTGAGTATCAATTATTATACCCATAATAAGAGCTTTCCCCACAGGGCACTGAGGACAGTGGTGAGATTTAAAATGGGACAGTGTGTGTGAAGCTTTCACTTTATACAACAATAATATCAGATAACCTTTGAGCATTTACCAGCAATATGTACTTTTGCAGACAGTATTTCAATGAATTCTCATGACAACAATTATCATTCCTCTGTTGTTGACAAACTACTGTAACTTAGAGACTTTAAAGTTAAAGCCCAGGATCAAACAGAGCTAGGATTTGAATACAACTCTAACCCTGTCCTGCAAACGGGAGGTTTATAAAGTATTCTCTGATGGGCAATCCAACAGAATTTAGACCTAAGAGTCAGAAGACCTAGGTTTGAAACAAGGCCCTACCTCTAAGTAGTAAGGTCTTAAACAGTCCTGTGGCCCCTCTCAGCCTGTCCCCCATGTGTTAATGGAAATAACAAAAACCATTTAGCCAAACCACACAGGATTACAGCCCGGCCCAAAGCAGATGCTGGATGTGAGTCTTCTGAAGACCAACAAGCACTTAGCAGTATTCCATACTTGAATACTTCCAGCAAGGGAGCTCACTGCTTCCTTTAGCAGCTCATTCTGGTTACAGACTTCTTCCTTTTGCAAAGCCCAGACAGACATGCCTGTAAACTCCATCTTCTCTGCCCAGCTGGAAAGGGTCATCGCAGGACCCACACCAGCTACAGAAAACCACTAAGGCTTGTGTCTTTGCTCTCCCCAGGGCTCCCCGATCACAGGAGGAAGCAGACAAAAGCCACAAAGTTCTTCGTTTTCTGTGACTCCTCTCCTGGAGCTGAGGCTTTGCCTGTCCCTGCTTATCAGACTCCTGGGCCCAGCAGAGACCAACTGATCAAGGAAGGATGTGGAGAAAGCTGGAGACACAGCTGGCTGTTCCAACCTCACACATTTCCTGGGTCCCCTGCCCTTTGCAAACACGTGCAATGCCCATACTGGTCCTGTTACCTCTGGCTGGCATATGGGATCTGGGTTGGGACTCCATGGACCTTAGACCAGTTCCTTTCCTTGTCCCACCTCTCCCTCCCACAGCAACCCCTAGTCACACTTGTGCCCCTACCTTGAAAGACTCCAGGAATCCTCCGTGGCCCCCATTCTCAAACTTGTCCTCCTCTGGGCCCAGTCCTAACATGGCCTGTGTGTGGGCATGCAGCTCATCATGAAGGTTGTCCAGGAGGGCAGCCCTTGTCCGGTCCTAGACAGGAAGATGAGGAAAGAAAGTGGAGGAGCTGGAGTGGGGAGCAGAGACGTGCCTCACCTCATGGGCATCCAACACTGGGCCTGAGGGCTGATATTCTCCCCAATTCATCCTGGCAACAGTGGGGACTCGGCTAGGCTGAGCTTCACACTCACAAAGGCTCCACGGGTGGCACCTGTGGCTCAGTGGGTAGGGTGCCAGCTCCATATACCGAGGGTGGTGGGCTCAAACCTGGCTCCAGCCAAACTGCAACAAAAAAAATAGCTGGGCATTGTGGGGGGTGCCTGTAGTCCCAGCTACTTGGGAGGCTGAGACAAGAGGACCGCCTAGGCCCAGGAGTTGGAGGTTGCTGTGAGTTGTGTGACACCATGGCACTCTACCAAGGGCAAAAAAGTGAGATTCTGTCTCTACAAAAAAAAAGACTCCAGGCCCAGCCACCTGCTCTCAGCTCTTTGCCCTTTCTCCTTGGGCCATCCCACTACTCCCACAGCTCTATATCAATGACCCCCAGCGCAGATGTCTGCCCATGTGCCACATCCATGGCCCAACTGCCCCCTGCTCCTCTACATCCAGATGTTCATCCAGGGTCAGAACCAGCGGCACTATTCACACAGACCAGGACCAGCCCCCTTTGCAAGTACCCTAGATCAGCAGGTCCTAACAGAACTATCTCTCAGTCATGCCCCCATCATCAAAGAGCCATGTCAGAAGCCTAAAAGTCGCCCTCCAGTCTCATTCTCCCCTCTACCCTTACACCCTGGAGTCCGTCCAGTCTTCCCAACTCTGACCTGCAGTGCTTCCTCCTGTACAATATAAGACTTCATCATCTCCCCTGGACTCCTATTAATAACTTCTAACTGGCACCCTGCCTCCACCTTCTCCCCTTCCATCCATCCTCCCACCACTGTCAGAAGAATCCCTTTAATATCCATATCAAACATGTCATTCCTCTGCCTAAGAACTTTATTAGCACCTCATCACCTCTAGCTCAAAGCACTTCTTTATTTAACACAACCTAGTCTCCCCCCATTGAAACCCCTGTGAATCTCTCTCTTAAGCTCCCTCAAGATGTCAGGATCTGCCTAGCCTGGCCTTTCCTCATGCTGTTTCCCATGCTGGAATAACCCTCCCCACTCTTTCCTCCTGCCAAAAGGCTCATCAGATATCAATATTCAGCAACTTATGAGTCACCTCCTTCTGGAAGCCTTCCCTGAACACACTCTCAGCCCCCCACAGGTAGAAGCAGTCAGTCCTCCAGCAGTGCTGGCACGCCATGCTACAATTGTCTGTTTAGTAATGGCCCCTCCCACCAGCCTGTGAGCTCTCCAAGGATAGAAACTGTCTCACTTATCCCTGCAACTCCGGGAACAAGAAGAAAGAATCTCTGCATCAACACAGAGCTGAGGGCTGAGAGGGGCAAGCCCAGTACTTCCATCTTGGACAGCTCTCAAGAATGTAGGTCTGAGAGGCTGCTTAATAGGTGTCCAGGAGAGCAGAAGAAAAACCTTCAGCAACAACACACTCACCTCCAGCTTTGCAAACTTGTCCGACTTGCAGCAAGCATTCTCTGCATTGGTGAGCTTGGTGAGCAGAAACTCCCTGAACTCCGGGCCCTGGAACAGACGAAATAGTCCAGAACTCTCCCACCCTCAGCTGCTGACAAAAGGGTTTCAGCCATACTAACAGGTGGATAGAATTGGGGGCTCTGGGGAGAGCCCCTGAAAGGCCCCTTCTGACATTTAATCATTTCTAGCCCAGGCCAAGCCCACCTGGGAACATGGCAGCATGGAAACCAGCTTCCCTGGCTAGTTCCCTATCTGAATGCACTTCTTGCCCAAACCAAAGTTCCTGGGTTTAGAGCATGGGATAAAAACCTTTCTTTTGGCAGAGAAGCAACCCCAGCAACAAATGACTCAACAAATGGCCCTTTGCTGAGCCACACTGGTGCCTAAGGAGGGGTAGGAGAGACTCTGACTAAGCAGATTCCCCCAAAGCAGCAGTTCTCAACCTGTGGGTCACAACCCCTTTCAGGATCGAACCACACTTTCACAGGGGTCGCCTAAATACATCCTGCATGTCAGATATTTACATTACAATTCATAACACTAGGAAAATTACAGTTATGAAGTAGCAACAAAAATAATTTTATGGTTGGGAGTCACCACAACAGGAGGAACTGTATTAAAGGATCGCAGCATTAGGAAGACTGAAAACCACTGCAGGCCTGCAAAAGCATCTCCTTAACATTCCCAGCGGACCCCAGCCACTGCTACCCAAGTATTGAAACTTGGGATCTTGGGTGTGACAGGAGGAGAAAGAAGAGTGTCTCACCTTCTGGAAAACAGGGGGGCTGGGCAGAGGTGGGCCAAAGGCAGGCACATCTTCCCGTGCGGTGACAGAAACCTGAATGAAACAGTCATAGTGTGGGCCCAGGGCGGAAGAGATGGGCGCTGCCCCTAGGAGTGCCACACTTCTCATGTTAATCTACTCACCCTCTCCCTTTTCCCCTTCCCAGAATGCAAATAAAACACTCCTGTGAGAATCACCAGCACAGGCCCTGAGAAGTGGGGCTGGGCAGTGCAGAGCCATGGGCATCCTCTCATCTGTGTTCCTGGAGGCCAGAAGCAAGTTTGGCAAAACAACTAGATAGAACTGGGGAGCAGCCTGGGACCCTAATTACAATGCAACACAAGTGCCTGGGAGATGTCATCTCATTACCTCACTTGATTGTGGTGCTAATACTACAGAGAAAACACAATAAGAATTATTACCCCTTATGAGAAAACAGATACCCACAGACACTGAGAGAGTCCTGCCAAGTCATGCAGGTGACTAGCCACTAAGAGGAACAGAGAATCTAAACCTCTCCCAGCCCAACTCTGAGGTTCTCTCTCCACTACTCTCACTCCCAAGCTGGCCATGCATTAGAATTGTCTCATGTATTTAAAAAAGAAATACCAGCTCAGCGCCTGTGGCTCAATTGGCTAAGGTGCCAGCCACATATACCTAAGGTGGCAGGTTCAAATCCAGCCCGGGCCCGCCAAACAACAATGACAACTGCAATCAAAAGAAAAAAAAAATACCCAGGCATTGTGGCAGGCACCTGTGGTCCCAGCTACTTGGGAGGCAGAGGCAGGAGACTCGCTTGAGCCCAGGAGTTGGAGGTTGCTGTGAGCTGTGATGCCACAGAACTCTACCCAGGGGGATAGCTTGAGGCTCTATCTCAAAATAAAATAAAATAAAATAAAATAAAATAAAAAAGAAAAAAGAAATACCAATTGCACAGGCTCCATCCCAAACCTAATGAATTGGGAGTTCTGAGCTCCTGAGAGATTCTGTGCAACTGGTAGACTAACATTTGGGAGCCCGGGCCCCACACACAGGTTCAGCCAGTCTGGGTAAGGCTTGAACTCACAGAACTCCGGGGACCAGGCTGGAAATGGAAAGTGGGGGCCCATCTAGGCTCTGGGTGGCGTCCACACCTCCAGCCAACCTGAGTGAGACCTAAACTATGAGAACATCTAGGTTTTCTGCAAGTTCTCCCAGGCTTTGGGACAGGCTCCACATCTGCACCTCCTCTCTACATGGAGATGCCCTGGTTTCACCTCTCCTCAGCCCAGGAGGCCACCAGGCTCTCAAGAGTCGGCTCTCTCCCCTCCCACCCCGGCTGATGACGTAGCCCGGCCCTGGCATGCAGCCAGCCTGCCAGCCTGGGTGAGGAGGCAGCTCGGAGCCAGGCCAAGGAAAGGCCCTGCCAGGGTCAAGAGGGAAAGCGTGGTGGGAATGGGCTGGTCAGCACTGGTTTTCTCTCCCCAAGCTCAAGGCTGTCCCCACAGCCCAAATCACAGTACCCAGTGTCAGGAAATGTTGTATGTTCGGCTGACATGATTCCTGGCTGGGTTCCAGCTCCTAAACACAGTTCCCTAACACTACCTAGCATGCACCAGTGGCCCAAGGAAAGAATTCTGCCCACAGGGCCAGAATTTGGAGTAAGGGTGTGGGGAAGGCTGCTGAGAGGCTGCCGAGAGGCTGCCAACTGCAGGCACCTGGGACAAAGGATAGAGGGCAGGTCTGGTCCCCTCTTCCCAGCCCGACTCCCTCTTCCTTCTAGGATTGCACTGGCGTGTCTGTGCTGACCAGGTTAGTGACTTCAGACATACTCTTCACTCCATCCGACTTTCCCAGCCAGAGAGCAGTGTGTCAGAAATGCAGGGGCAGGATCCTTCCCTCTGCTGTCCATCCATTCACCTTCCATCCCTGCAGGGCTCCTCTTCAGACCTCACTCCAACAAAGCGGCTAGGCCTTTGTTCCCTTCCCTTGAGGACATCTGGCTGAAAGCAGAAGTTGCCTGAATGCAACCTCACCTTCCTGTTTTCTAAACTCAGTGAGGGCCACCCAGAGAAGGTTCCAAGGGGGGTCAGGAGGTGACTCCGGGGAAGGGCATCTTCTAGGATGGAAAGCGGAAGGAGCTTGGGAGTGCGAATCACAGGATGCACCAGGAGCCTCCCAGGGCTTGAAACTTGCCATAGTCCCCACACCAAGTGTGGCCTGGAGTTTCAGAGCAACAGGTGAGCAGTGGAGGGAACCTGTGCAGGACTTCAGGAGTGGGGGAAAGGTGACCCCAGATTGGGAGAACAGGGAGTCCTGGTGGTGATGAGCTGACACTTCCTTCCAGTCTGGCAGGATAAAGACCAAACTCGTTTCTGAGAAATAACCCAGTATGATGTTCCCAGCTCTGTGGAGTCAGTTCCCCAATGCCATCTTGCTCCGAAGGCCTGGTGACAAAGACCACAGGCAGACCCAGATAGGAATCTCAGTTCCACAGCTCCCTGGCTCTGTGGCCTCAGGCCTTAAGTGAATTAAGCTGTCAGCCTCTATTCCCTCACTATACAGTACAGCTAGGGAGAGGCCCTGCCTCACCAGAGGCTTGTTGGCATTCAAGAAAACTGTGTTTCTGGGGCAGCGCCTGTGGCTCAGTGAGTAGGGTGCCGGCCCATATACCAAGGGTGGCGGGTTCAAACCCAGCCCCGCCAAACTGCAACCAAAAAAAAAAAAAAACTCTGCTTCTAAAAGTCTAGCGTAGTGCCCGGCGGCAACAAGTACCCAACAAAAAGTAACCATCATCAGCTGGGGCTTTCTACATTCCCTGCTAACCCGCACCTAATAAAGGGCACCTGAAATACACAGAGTCCCACTCTGTAACCCACATGCACCCCCCAACACTCCACAACTACTCCTCCCCCGCCTCACAGGATGTCAGGGCCAGAAAGATCTCACAGGTTGTCTAACCCACCTTTCTCATTTCACACACACAGAAACAGGTCCAGAGAGGGAAGGAATGGCCCAAGAGCACACAGCAGGGCCAGGACCAGGGCCAGGACCAGAACCCCAGGTGGCCAAGCCTGTCCTTCCTACACACTGACAGTACTCCCCACTCTTCTTTCCTCGCCAGATGTCCCCAAGGGGAGGGAACAAAGGCCTAACCAACCCTGCCCTGTCCTACTTTCTTCCTTCTTGTGGTTTCTCCTCCCTAGCGGAGCCTTCCTGGGTTACTGCACAGCCCCTGAAGTCTCATCCTCCTCTTCTATAGCCTCAGAGCCTGCAGGGGTCAGCTAAGGTCCTGTTTCACCCAGACCCCTGAGGGATCTGACCAGTCTGCTCACTAGCTGGGTAATGCTGGGGCTGTGGTATGTAGTGCTATGGGAGCCACTTGGAAGGCTGCCCTCCCTCCCTGGCCTCTGTCTCCCTGGCTCCATGCACATATCTTGCCCTCCACCTTCAGTATCTGCCTGGCGGCTAGAGTGTCAGGTCAAGGTCCCACAACCTGGGGACTCAGCCTGTTCTTCTACCCTGCTTCTTACTGTCTCTCTGAGGATAGTGCTTTGGCCTGGACCTCAGACTGTGGCTTAGAAGACTTCTAGCACTCAAGCCAGAGATAGAATGGTGTTTCTCTGCATCTCTGATTTTTCTCTGCATGGGTGCACCCTTCCACTAAGGACTTGGAAACAAGGAAAATACATTTAACTGAGACCCATTTCCTACCAGGAATGAAAAGCAAATGCCAAACATCCACAGTTGGCCTCACTCTGCTAGCAGACAAGCCGCACGCAGACGACTGCCTGGCAGGGCCTGGGAGCCCTCTTATCGCACAGCTTTATTCTGGGATCCTTCTCAGGAGTGCTGCTTCTTCAGCTGGCTGTTATAAGAACCAGTTGGCTATCTGGCTTAAGCGCACTCACTGGCTTTTCGGTCCCTTTCCTAGGAAGGCCCTGAAGGCTAATTCTGTATGACTTCCACCTGCCCTGCCCCAGCACGGTGCCTGGTGCACAAGGAGGCGCTGAATGAATCAACTTGCTTCCACTCACAAATGAGTCAAGCCGCTTTCTGAAGTGAATGCCCATTTCAGACAAAGCAGATGACGCAGCCTTGAAGGAAACATCCACACCACGTTTCTCCAAATTCTCAGCCAGCATCACCCAACACCAGAAAAGCATAAGCACAAATATGAGCATGGAAAGGAACCAGCTCGCCTCAATAGGAGAGTTGTTTTTTTTGGGGGGGGGGGTTGGGGCTATTTTTTATTTATAGGGATTTTTTTTTGGATAATTCACATTTGGTTCTAAAAGTTGATGTGAATTTTGCACTTAATACACCTGGGTTGGAGTGCAGTGGCATAGCTAACTCCAGGAGCCAGCGCTGGCCTAGTATTACGCAGGAAACATTTCCAGGCCTTATTGTTTCCCATTAGTAGTGACAGTTCATTTTTCCTCTCCCTTAGAACAATGGTTCCTGATATTTGTTGGAGCAGGGAGCCCTTTGAGAACTTGAGTTTGGGCCTCTCTTCCCAGAAAACATAAAAAAGGGCATAAACTCAGCGTTTTACACACATCTGCAGGGAGTTCAGAGACTGCCTAATCCTAACCCTAAAAACCCAGCCTCAGGCTGACTTCCTGGGTCCCATGCCCACACCCTAACCACCGTGATACAGAAAAATTGTTGTCCAGGAGACTGAGACTATTTCTCATGTGTAAAAGGTGGAGGAACTGGCAACACAGCCATCTGGGGTAGGCGGTGGTGGGAGCTACAAGAAAAAATGGGCTGTACTCTCTTGGTGTCATCTGCACTAGAGGGTATTTGATTCAAACCACTTACTGGTCAGGAGGCTTAGACCCAGATGACTGCCTCCCTGCCTCCCTGGGAAGTCATCACATTAAGATCAGTCATTTGTCCAGAATGGGCAGACCCAATGGACAGGGCCTATCACGCTTCCTTCTTCAGCCCTCTCACCATAAACATTGCTCCTTTTTCTTTCTTCCCTTCTTCTTCCTCTCCCCTTTCCTGACAGTGCTCCCCACTCTTCTCTCCTCACTCTGCCTTGCTCTAGCAAAAGTCATTACCAGATTCCAAATATAACACACACTCAGGGCTTCTCAGCCCTTGAGTTAGATGCTGTCAAGCCTGGGGCAACAAGATGGATCAGATGACTCTCCACCAAGAGTCAAGCTCCAAATCCCAGAAACCTGGCAACTTGTGGAACATCTGTTACTGCTGAGAACTAGTGTCCTTTGATATCACTGAATCCACGGGGAGGTGTCTGGGCTCACCACTTCCTTCAACAAGGCTTTCTCCTTACCTTGTAGGATGGGGTCTCTGTGCCCCGGGTCTCAGCCTGCACAACAATGTAGGCATGTAAGAAATTGGAGGCAATCATATCTGGGACAAATGGTGTATTTTCTTCTTGAAAAATGATGGCCACAATGTCATTCCCAATGTGTCTCTTTCTCTGGAGCTAAAAAAAAAAAAAAAAGTGTTTATTTGTCATAAGCCAGTTAGGTCCATACAGGAAATTCCTCCTTATTTTACCTTTATACACAAACCCTGGAACTCTGAAACTGAACTCTCCGGGGAGCTGCTTATTTCAATCTTTAGAAGCCACCAGAGAGAGAAATCATGGGTGAGATGCTCAAGTTATTAGGTAAAAACTAGTCTACAGCATGCACAGCCCTAACTCAGACCTCAGAAGGTTTAAAAGGTGAGGCCGGTCTTGCCCTGGTAGAGCCTATAATTGATCTGGAGAAACACAAACACAGGTAAAGCCACCTGGGAACACTGATAAAGCCACTAGCCAGCAAGTACTCAATCGGTTGCTGCACAAAAATACCTGACAGCTCTGTGAGAACAGAGAGGAGGGCGAAATCAGAGCAACCCTAGAAGGCTTCCTGGAAGAGGAGACAGGGGAGGGGGTCTTGATGGAAATGTAAATGAAAGGGATGAGGTGGGGTGGATCACGCTACCAAAGGAGAGAAGAGCTGTGCTGGGAGAGGCACTGGTCACCTGGCTTGGTGGAGGTAAGGTGAGGGGGTGGTTACACGCAGTATCCCAAGCAATAGGAGTGCTCTTGTATGTGATCCCAATCAACAAGCACCCTCTGTGCTCACATGCAGGACTTCAAATGTTAAACCTCTCCTGTACACCACATCCTGGAGAGGTGCCTGCCAATGCATTTATTTCTTTATTAAGCACCTACGGTGTGCAAGTCCTATGCTCAGCCCTTTCAGGAAAAGAGTTTCTCCCTTACTGAGCACGGGCTGTACACGCAGCACCGTGCTAGGCATCTTACACAAATTACCTTTCCTCACTCCACACACATCACCCCATTTCTCAGGAGGAAAAAACTGAGATATTTATTCAGTCCCTGCCGCATGGGACGTGCAATGGCCTTGACAGAACAAGTCTCAGCCCCAGGCTGAGGAGGCAGGTCGGAGGGTTCTGGAGGGGGCTGAGGGCCTGATGGTGAAACACCCAGACCAAAGCCACCTTGAATACAAAAGGAATGTTGCTCTCGTTTGTTTCTGGAACATTCAGTGGTTATTTTAGAGCCAAATCATAATCTCGTTTGCCAACTTCCTTTTTTCCTAAGAAGCCAGGGACTATGTTTACAATTTTACATCCGTCCTCCCTCCCCAGCTCCCTGCTCAGAAACAAATAGGTCAGAGTTTGGGCAAAGGCCCACCTGTCTTATTTTCCTAGACTCTGAAAAGGGATACAATGTGGGATGGAGCGAATGGTGTTGTTATTCAGCGGCTGGTTTCAGCAAGGCCAGGCCTCCCCCGGGATGCATGGCTGTCTGTTGGAGCAGCAGATTTGAGACAGAACAAGGGAACACTGGCATCAGAGGCCTCAGCCAGCTCTCCTGGCTGAGGTAAAGGCTGAATCCCTGCAGGTGTGGTGAAAGATGAGGCTGTGAGGTGGGAAACGCTGAGGGTGGAGGGTAGTAGGTTCTCACACGATAACCAGGTTTACATTGCCAGGGCAGGAAAGAGACAAAATGACCAGTGGACTGGACAGTGAACAGCTGTCACATAGAAAGCTAGCCACCAGTCAGGCATCATATGAGCCCTATATTCGGAAACCTGTATAATCCTCACAGCCACAATCTGATGTAGTTGGTATTATCCCCACTTTACAGGTGAGAAAAATGAGGCCTAAGGTTAAGCAGCTTGCTCAGAGTTACACGTCCGTAAGGGGAAAGCTGACTTCAAGGCCGTCTGCAGATCCCACCAAGCACTCTCCCACCACCCTACCTGACCAAGGCACCCAGCTCTGCTCCCTGCATTGCCCCTAATCAACTGGGAATCCTCAAGAAAGTCTTTTAACCACCCTGGGCTGCAATTTCCCAGCTCATCCAAGGGGGAATAGCCCCATCTCTGCCCTGCCTCCCACACAGCAGCTGAGGTACCACCTGGTGAGCAAACACAAGACAGCAGCTTTGACAGTCTGTGAGCTGAACACCTGGCCGGCCTCCTGAACAGTGAAAATGGGGAGAGGTCCGCAGTCCCTGGGCAGGTCATAGCAGAGGCCGGCCTTCACCTCGCACGCCCCGGGCTCCCAAAGTCCTCCCAAACCAGGTTACCTGCTGGGCGTCTCCCTCAGTAAATGGCAGCTTTGTGGAGACATGAAACATGATCTCCCTGTCCCGGAATGTCGTGTACACTGATTCCACCCCTGTCTGTCCATGGGTCACATCCAGGCCTCCTCGGAAACTGTCAGCAAAATAAGGCAGGAGAAGGGGAGAGAAAAGGAATGAGGGAAAGTGGGCAACTTGGTGCCACCTTCCCTGAGGACACACAGTGGGGATGTTTGAGAATATGGGGGTGGGGGCTAAAAGCAGAGCAGATTGTGATGCGGGAGAAGCAGGGAGATTTGCTCTTAGAGCAGACTAGCCCTGGTAGTCTATCCATAAATCCATTATTTAAAAGAAAAAGGCAGAACCTCCATTTCAGGCCTTGGCTGTGTCCCCTCCACACTAGACAGTCATGGGGGAAGGGAGGCCATCCACCCACAATCCCAGACAAATGCACATCCCAGGTGCCAGTGGCCCCCAAGGCTGGACACAAGCCTTTGCTCTCTGCAAGGCCATGACTGAGTCTCACGCCCAGAGCCAAAGCAACAAACCCTGGGGCTGGATGGCGACAAGCCCCACAGGACCATGTGGTATCAACAGGAGAGGTGACAGGAACTTGACTTCTACCCAGCTAGTCCCTGCTATGGAGGCCCAACCACCACAGCACCCACTGGGTATGTCCTGGAAGGTCCTTCTCCAGCTACCTCCTTCCAGGTAGGAAAGAAAAGTACGAAGATACTGGGTGGGCTTCCACGAGCTGTCCCTCCTTAAGCCTTTATAGCACGCAGCCTGGATCATGTTCTTAGCAGGGGGAAGAGAATGTAGATGCAGCTTCCTTTAAGAACATGAAATAAGATGGACCCTGGATGTCCGCCCCCAGCCAGAAAACGCACTCAGCCTGGTATGGTGGAAAGGGCACCAGACAGGGAGATGGGTCCAGGTCTAGACCTGCTTCTGTGCTAAGTCATCATGTGACCTCAGGCATATCACTTAATCTCTCTAGGCCTGTTTCCTTTCTCCATACAATAAAGGCAGAGGATTACACGATCTGTGAGGTCCTTCTGGATTTAATACACTGTACTTCTTCTACTCCAAAACCCACATTTTTCCACATCGTAACATCACTAAATTCAGACTTACGATGATGGCATCAAAGTCAATGAAAGATGATAAAATAACAACAATAACGACAACTGTGAGTGCCTGGTGCTAGCTTAAGAGCTTCACATGCATTACCTGTGTTAATCCCTCAACAACCTTACAGGATCAGGACTACCTTTACCTCGCTTTTTACAGATGAGGAAACTAAGGCTTGCAGAGGTAAAATCTTTTTGTCCAAAAGCATAGAGCTAATAAGCAGAGGGGCTAGGATTTTAACATGAGTATGACTGACTCCAGTCAGCAGCGATGACCTTGAAGTAGGGAGAAGATGGAAGAAGACAGGAAAGAAAAAAGGAGAAGGAAGAAGGGGAAAGAAGCAAGAAGAGGAGGTAAACAATTATTAAACACCTACTGCATCCCCGGCACCAGAGCTTTCGACATGATGCTAGGAGCTCCCGGTAATTTGGCTACTGGAGTGGGGAATTCTGGGGCCCACAGCCATGTGCCAGCCACCAAGCAATGAACAGGCTGGCTGGGTCTGAACTCATCCTAAATGATGAGTTTTCTTTTGCCAAGGAAAAATCAAGAGCCAGTTTTCCAAGCAATAGCCTCTATAGTCTACCTTATTGTCCACTTTAAAAACCACAGACTTATACGATTCCTGCCTAGAAAATTATTATATTTCCATCAACTCTTAATTATCCATTCCTCGTGTATTATCCAAAGTGGGTCCTTTCCACCCCAAACTGCACAGAGCTCTCTTTCCCAAATCTGACCAGTGAGTGACAGGGAAGGTGGATTCCTTTCACTCTGCGTATGAACCAAATGTAATTAGGAGAGCAAATCTGAGGCAGAGCATTTCACCCTGCATCCTAAGGCCAAACGCCAGATAATCTGCCATGCTGGATTATTCCTTGCACCACTGATTCCTCAGAAATGCAGGCGAGTGAATGTTGATCAGATGCTGAAAACAACCCCACGATTCTCATGTTTTCAACTTTCACATGTTCTCCCTGAGGACTGAGCTCTCTGCCCCTTGGCCTTCCTCTCGGGCCTCATCAATGGCACTGGAGCCGTCACTTGGCTAAAACCCACCCTTTGAAGTCCTGCAGTGTGATCGTGTCCCCCAACAGGTCTAAGAACTCCTTGAAAGCTGGACTCTCCTCATTGTTCCCAAACAGCTCCTCCTCTAGGGTCTGAAAGAGAAACAGGAACAGGGGCAGAGTTAGAAAAATGCTTCTTAATGCCCAGAGAAGGAGTATCGCTATTCAGACTCCCGGGTCCCTGTCTTTCTCCCTAGCCTACAACACACTCGCCACAGCTGTGCTCATCTGGAGGAAGGAACTAATAGAGCTCTCTTGACAGAGCTGGATCTTCAGAGCTGATTAATGAGGCCGTTCTATTTGAACAAAAGCTGCTGGTCAGTACAAAAGGCAGAGCTGAGGCAAAGGGTTCTTAGATTTGATTACCAAAAACACGATTCACAAATAAGACACTGATCACTGGATTTCAAACAGAGGGCAAGTCTCAAGAACATACAAAGAACTCTCAAAACTCTAACGTAACCAAAACCACAAAGAGGTGCAACTTCACAACCACTAGAATAGCTAACAAGAAAAGGAAAAACAATAACAAGTGCTGGTGAGGATATGGGGAAATCAGAACCTTCTCATGCTGCTGGTGGGAGTATCAAATGATGCAGCCACTTTGGAAAACAAGCGAGTGGTTCCTCAAAAGGCTAAACATGGAGTTACTATACAACCCAGAAATCCTACTCCTAAGTATGTACCCAAGAGAAATAAAAACATGTCCACACAGGAACTTGTCCAGGAATATTAACAGCAGCACTATTCATAACAGCCCCAAAGTAGAAAGAACCCAAATGTCCAGTAACTAATGAATGGAGAAACAAAATGTGGTCCATCCATACAATGGGATATTATTTGGCCATAAATAAGAAATAAAGTACTGCCACATGGATGAACCTTGAAAACATTATGCTAAGTGAAAGAAGGCAGACACAAAAGGCCCCAATTTACAGGATTCCACTTATAAAAGGTCCAGAATAGGCAAATCCATAGAGACAGAAAGTATATTAGTGGTTGACAGGGACTAAAGGGAATGGGCCTTGGGGAATGACTGCTGGTGAGTATGGGGTTTCTTTGGGGGATGATGAACATGTTCTGGAGAGTTAGTGCTGCTGTTTCACAATTCTGTGGTTATACCACAAACCACTGAATTGAGATAGAAATCACATGAATTATATGGTGTGAGAATTATGCCCCAATAAACCTGTTACCAAAATTTTTTTAACTCGATGGTAAAAAAAAAAAAAAATCCAATTAGAAAATGGTCCAAGGACATGAAGAGATATTTTACCTAAGAGGATATACAATAAGCACATGAGAAGACATCCAACATCATTAGCCATTTGAGAGATGCAAATTAAAACCTTACGGCAATATCACTGCACATTTATCAGAACGGCTGAAATGAAAAGTAGTAACAACACCACATGCTGGCAAGGATGTGGAGAGACTGGCTCATTTGTAGGAACAACTACTTTAGAAAAGAGTTTGGCAGTTTCTTTTTTTTAGAGACAGAGTCTCACTTTGTCGCACTGCTGGAGTCATAGCTCCCAGCAACCTTCAGCTCTTGGATTTAGGCAATTCTCTTGCCTCAGCCTCCCAAGTAGGTGGGACTACAGGCGCCTGCCACAATGCCCGGCTATTTTTTGTTGCAGTTTGGAGGGGGAGGGCTGGGTTCAAACCCTCCATCCTCAGTACATGGGGCCAGCGCCCTACTCACCGAGCCACAGGAGCTGCACGAGCTTGACAATTTCTTACAAAACTAAACGTGCATAAACTTTAAAAAAAAAAAAAAAAGAAAACTAAACATCCATCATGAATAAGGGCAAGACCATGTTTCTACAAAAAAAAGAGAAAAATTAGCTGGGTGTTGGGGTGCACACCTGTAGTCCCAACTATTCAAGAGGCTCACTCGAGCCCAGGAGACTGAGGTTGCTGTGAGCTATGATGCCACCATTGCATTCTAGTCTGGGCAACAGAGCAAGACTCTATCTCAAAAATAAATACATATACATATACATATATATACATACACATAATATATACACACACACATTGTATATATTATATATACATATATTTATTTCTTTTATATATACATAAAATAAACAAATAATTACCATACAACTCAGCAACTATACTCCTAAGCATGTATCCCAAAGAAGTGAAAACTTACACAAAAATCTGTATAAGTTATTCATAACAACTTTATTCATATAGTCAAAAACTGGAAACAAGCTAGATATCCTTCAGTGGGTGACTGTTTAAACCAGGGGTCCTCAAATTTTTTAAACAGGGGACCAGTTCACTGTCCCTCAGACGGTTGGAGGGCTGGACTGTGGGCCTGGGGACAAGTTGGCTGCTAAGCAGGACAGGCAGCAGCGGCAAAAACACCTGGCGGGCTGGATAAATGTCCTAGGCAGGCATGTATGTGGCCCGGGGGCCGTAGTTTGAGGATGCCTGGTTTAAACAAACTGCAGCACAATTAAACCATGAAATACTACTCAGCAAAAAAAAAAAAAAAAGGAATGAAGTATTGATATACTCAAGAACTTGGATAAATCTTGCTGAATAGAAAAAAGCCAATCTCAAAGGTTATATATATGATTCTATTTATATAACAATTTTGAAACAACAAAGTTTTAGAAATTGGAGAACAGATCAGTGGTTGCCACAGGTTAGGGACTGACAGGAGGAAGTGGGGAAGGAAAGAAGAGTGGAAGGAGAGAGGATGGTTACAGGACAAATGCAAGGGGCCCCTGCCGTGATGAAATTCTATATTTTGGCTGTGTAACCTATCCATGTGATAAAATTATATACAGCATGATACACACACACACAATACACACAAATGAGTATGTGGAAACGGGGGAAATCTGAGTAAGACCTGTGCATTATAGCAATAGCAATATCCTGGTTGTGCTATAGTTTTTATTAAGACACTACTTTTGGTGGAAACTGGGTAAAGGGTACACATGAGATCTTCCCGTATTATTTTTTACAATTGTATGTGAATCTATAGATATCTAAAAATAAAAAGTTTAATAATTTTTTAAAAGCAAAGCTGCAAACAGTAGCAAGCTCTGTAAACAGCAATAAGCTTAAAACACAGACTGTCCTAACTGATGGGCAGGGTTAGGACACTCACAGACCTCAGTGAATGGCTGCAGATGATACAAAGACGCTCCAGCCCACCTGCTCACACCGAGGAGAAAGTCTCCAATGGCTTATTCCTCAAAAGCCCTCTAACATATGCTTTATACAAAAAAGGGCAGACCTCATGCTCCACGATCCAGCAGATTTCAATAACTTTATTGTTTACAGTCTTTCTTTTTAGAATTACTTTCATTTCATGATAAGTGATACTAGTTTTCCAGTTCCAAGTAGTGATATAAAATCTCCATTTAATATAAATGCATTTGAGTTTTTGAAAAACATTTTTAAAGAAACTCTTAAGTAATAATATGAGAATGATAAAAATGCTAACAGGGGCACACAGTAGAACAAACAACATGATACAGATCCTGGATGTGGTTTGTGAATGTCTAAAGTTTAGGAAACGGGCTCAGCACCCATAGTTCAGGGAGTAGGGTGCCAACCACATACACAGAAGCAGGCAGGTTCGAGTCCTGCCCAGGCCTGCTAAACAACAGTGACAACTGCAACCAAAAAATAACCAGTAGTTGTAGTGGGCGCCTGTAGTCCCAGCTATTCACGAGGCTGAGGCAAGAGAATCACTTAAGTCCGGGAGTTTGAGGTTGCGGTGAGATGTGATGCCACGGCACTCTACCAAGGGTGATGTAGTACAGCTCTATCTCAAAATAATAATAATAATAAAGTTTAAGAAACACTGCTCTCTAGCAAGAGTCAGCAAACTATGACCCATGTGCCATCTTGCCTGCTGCCTACTTATATAAATAAAGTTTTACTGGAACCCAGACAGGCCAACACATTTATGCCCTGCCTAGGGCTGCTTTTGTACTATAAGGGCAGAGCTGAGGGCTGGGACAGAGACCTGGAGGCCCACAAAGTCTAAAATATTCACTATCTGGCCCTTTACAAAAAAGTTCTTCAATTCCTGATCTACAGCATACCATGAAGGCGATGAAACTGTAGCCAAGAGTCCTGTTTGCCCCAGGTCACAAGGTCAGAGGGTGGAAAAGCAACTCCTTCCAGATAACCTACACTTTCTACTAGGAACACAATTGTGTGTGTGTGCGTGTGTGTGTGTGTACGTGCACATGCACATGTTCTGGGCCATGTACCTCTCTTCCAGGATTCACAGCCAGCCTGGTATTAGCATTGTCACTATTTTTATACCAGCCTTGAGCTTGACCATGGACTCAGGAGGCCTTAGTCATCACTGCATCCCCCAGAGTGCTCAGCATAGAGCAAGACAAACAGGAGAGTTAGATGAGGCTTATTTATATCCAAACACCAGCACAGGGCTTTTCTGCAACAAATGTTCATATTAAACATCCCCCAGCTGTGGGTCCACAAAACAACAATCTGCCTTGGTTTTTAAAAAAAAAAAAAAAAAATGTATCTTTCTGGCTTTTTCCCCCATAGCAGCATCAGGTATATAAACACACAGACTCCTTCTCAGAGGTAGGTAGTTAATGTTCAGTAATTACAACTTTGCTGGAACATTGGATTGTAATCACTTTGTAAGATCTGCTTTGGTACATTTCATAAGCAAAGAACTTTAATTAGAGGGGCTATGTTAGCAGAGCTGTACAAAATAAAAATGTAATGTATGAAAATAATTAGAGCAGCTACCTGAATAATCTCCCTTAAATTATAAGATGGTCTTGAGGATCCTAAACTCTTCACCTAATTAGAGTATTTTTAAACAAACACATGTCTCTTATAGTCTAATATCTTCAGACAAGGAAATCAGGCATCACCTAGGCAAGAAAGATACCATCAAGCAAAAAAAAAAGAAAAGAAAAGAAAAGAAAAAAAAAACCCACAGATTAATATCAGAAGATATTACTGACCTGCCATTAGAGGGGGCCAAAATTTTCATTTATTCACTAATTTACACAACAATTTAGAGTATGTATATAAAGTGATGTGCTAGGTCCTTCAATGACACCCAGATGAAATGGGTGTGGAAACTTCTCTCAAAGAACCTAGGTGAGAAAACTTCAGTGTGTTCGGCCAATCACTCTGCTTGAGACGTTAACAAATGTTCATATTAGGAAACAGATGAGCAAATGGAAAGTTTGCAGTCACGTAAGTATGGGAAACTCTAACTTCAACAAAGTTATACAGAGTTTGCCTTAGGCGTTCTTAGAGCCTTAAAAATATTCCCACTTAAGTGACTACCCCTCCCCAAGTCATGCGCTCACAGAATGCCATCACCAGACTAGTGCCTCATGGAACATTCTTTGAGGAACACTAACTTCAAAGCAGCCTGTGAGTTCTACAAGAGACAGAGGAGCGTGAACAGAGGTGCGCTGGGGAATGTTTGAGGAACTGACCCTCCTAAGGAGGAAAAGAGAAACCCTGGTGTTTGCCAATTTCCATGGCATCAATACTTCTACTACAGCTGATTTTAGGTTACCAACACGATGTCACTGAACACAAAGTTGGGAAGAGATGCACACGGCTGGCTCCATTGTACAACTGCAACGTTAGGGAAGAAAATCTAATTCCCAGGGAGAAGAATGGCAGACAAGGAGGGAGCAGTTTGTTCTAATCCATGCCCTCTTACCTAGCCAGATTTTCCTTGTAACCAACAGCCCACAGATAGAATAGAAGTTGAGGTAGTAGCCAGGAAGAATGAAAATTTACTGTATGAAAAAATACACCACATTTAGGACGAGCACAGTGTCTCACATCCGTAGTCCTAGCACTCTGGAAGGCTGAGGCAGGAGGACCACTTGAGCTCAGGAGTTAGAAACCAGCCTGAGCAAGAACAAGATCCTGTCTCTACTAAAAATTAAAAAATTAGCCAAGTTTAATGACAATTAATGACACAGTGGGGGTAGGGAAAGGGGAGAGCAGAGAGAGGGAAGGAGGGAGGGGGGTGTGGTCTCAGTGTGTGCCACACCTTCTGGGGGCAAGACACGATTGTGAGAGGGACATACCTAACAAATGTAATCAGTAAAACCTGGTTTCTTGTACCCTCAATGAATCCCCAACAATAAATTTAAAAATATATGTATATACTAAAAAATTAAAAGAAAAAAACCTACATCATCACTTAAAGCATTTACAGCTCTTTGTAAGGAGTAACCTTCCCTGAAGGTTCTGCCACCTCCAGTCTAATTCACACTTTAAATGTAACAGTTGTATTCAGACTGATGGAAGACCTAGTTCAGGGCTCCTGCACTAGAGGGAGGTGGGAAAAAAAGAGTTCTTGGTGAGAAACCACAGGATATTTTGACCAGTATGGATTTGTGCTGCTTACCTGCCTGGCTTTTTGATAAATGACCCCAAATTTGAATGTGTTGTTGACATCATGTTCATCGTAGGACACAATCATCTGGGAGGCCTGAAAAATATGGGAAGAAGAAAATCAAGATGGTTTGTTAATTTTCAGGCAAATGAGGAAGCAAATGGAAGATCACCCCTTTAGGTTGAGAATGTACTTCCTGGTATGAAACATCCACACATATGGAGGAAGAGAAAGGGAGAAATATTAAGACAGGATGCAACTCCAAAGGTCCTAGCCAGGCCGACACCTGGATTCCCCAGTGGTAACCAAACCTCTGTATCATCTATTCTGTTCTCATCCAGATGTGCCAACCAAGGCTTGGGCACATGAATCCAGAAGGACTCAGGGAACTGACTTTACCCCAGTGTTTTATCTGTGGTGTAGAAAGTGAAGAATCCCAAAACCATTCAGCAAGGATGACACCAGTTCTAATTCCACCTCTATCAGCAGTATGACTCTGAGCAAGTCACTACTCCTGCCCAGATTTCAATGCCTTATCCATAAAATGAGAGGTCTCTAAAAAGACCACTCTAAGGAGGAACACACCCTAATACAATATGCAAATAAGAAAAGAAAAACCCAACCATTTGTTCTACATAAGTTTCCATTATGCTGTATAGAGTTGACATCTGGGATCAGAAACACTAAACTCTGGGGCCGAGCGTGGTGGCTTATGCCTATAATCCTAGCACTTTGAGAGGTGAGGTAGGAGGACTGCTTGTTGCCAGGAGTTTGAAACCAGCCCTCACAAAAAAGAGGGAGACGCATCTCTACAAAAGTAGAAAAATCAGTCAGGCATGGTGGTGCATGCCTGTGGTTCCAGCTACTGGGGAGACTGAGGCAGGAAGACTGACTGAGCCCAGGAGTTTGAGCAGCGGTTCTCAACCTGTGGGTCACGACCCCTTTTTAACGATGAAAATGCATTGCGGCATTAGGAAGGTTGAGAACCACTGAGCGTGAGGTTTCTGAGAGCTAGGCTGACATTGCTGCACTCCAGCCCAGGTGGCAGAGTAAGACCTTGCCAAAAAAAAAGATGGAATGCAGAGAGGGAGGGACTCAAAAGCAACATTAGACTCTGGTTTTGAATCTGCTTCTTTTACCTACTTAGCTTTGCGTGAGTCTCTTAACTACTCTGGGGAAACTACTCAGTTTCTCCATGTGTTCAGTGAGCACAAAGCAGCTGCCGTCCACAGCATCGTCGTTACCCTCCAGAAACTCCAGAAAGCTCAGAGCCGAACCACTTTATTGAGAAAGAGAGGCAAATCTAGGAATACCACTGGGATACCCTCTGCAATAAAAAGGAAGGATTCAACCACATTGTAGTGAAAGAACAAACCAGGCACTACTTGGTGGCTGGAGTAAGTGGCCCACATTAGGTTGCCACCCACTTAGATCTTGGAGGGTCTCAGGGGCCTGAGGAAGTGAACATTTCTCAGCGCCCACAGCCAGGGCACCGCTGCCCAACCTGGAAGGAGCTCTCCACTCCCACCTGGGATGAGTCAAAGGGGAGGAACAGCTGCCCTGCCAAGAAGAGGCACCAGGCTAGTGAAGACCTTCCAAGGAACATTCTAAACTGCAGATTTCAAAAACACACACATGCACACATCTCAGCCAGATTAACATCCCAGCCGGACTCAGCAGTCCTTCAAATAAAGAAAACATGAAAATACAGCTGCTCTTCCGTTATTACCAAAGCCGGAGGCTTTCCAAGTTACACAGAACTATGCAAATAAACATCATTGACCCTCTCAGTAGCTATGATTTGACAACAAAAATTGCCAAACCTGTAGTTAGGTTCACCCTTTATAATAGGGTTTTAATGTCTGATTAAACCTCACTAATTCAGTTCTAATTATAAAAGGAAAGTCAGACTGGATGGTAGAAAATGTCCAGTGGAATGCAGCATATTCCTGGTAAAGTTTCTACAGATGCCAAACAGTTAAAGGGGGGCATCCAAGAGAAGGGCTGTGCATAGGAGAGGACTCTGCCATGGCAGATGGAAAGACAGGGGCTCTAACGGTGTCATGCCCAATCGTGAACATTTAAGGCATTTGTTCCAGGATATTCTGGATGTCTCAGCTGGGATAGGGCTTCTCTTCCCAGCAAGACATCTCATCCCACCGTTCCTGGCTGTCAGAGCTGGGACTCAGGGAATGGGCAGATCCGGCCCCAGCATGGCCCACAGCAGACGTCCAGATGCACAGCTCTATTTCCATTTGCTCTCTCCAGCCCCCTGGCTCACAAACGGTTGATGAGCACTGGTGCTTGTCCTGTGGCCAATTTTAAACAATGCACTGTCTGCAGGTGCTATCATGCCATCATCATTCTTGAGTGGGTTTGCTGGCTTGTTTTGCTATTATTGCTTGTCTCCCCTATATCAGAATCAGGCCCATCCTAAAGAAACTGATAGCACAGAACCAGCCAGTTTATTAACAAAGGCTGGACAAAGGCTTGTGAGGCCCCAGAGCTGTGGGAACATGGGCAATGGGGAGCCACATGTTCCCCAGGTCTGGCCTTTTACGTAGGTCACTACAGAAGTTTTGAGACAGACTATGTTATGGTTCATTATTTTACTTCCAAGAAACACAGCTGACAGAGTCCTTTCTGATTCATGAGAGCAAATGTCAACTTTGCTTGGTTAATTGATGTTGCTGGGAGCACTCCACTGGTTTCCATCCATATGGATTTTACATTTCATGATTTTGCTATATCTCAGAACTTTCGAAATGACCCATGCACTTCTCAGTGAATTCTGCCTTCTGCAGAATACTAAACCCCTCCATGACATCAAGCTTGATCTGTGCCTTCTCCCAGCAGTAGAATCACGCCCCACCCTAGCACCGGCCTCAGGGAGGTCCAACTGGGGTGGGGTAGAGGACGAATAACATTGCCACCCTCTGCCCCCTTCACAACAGGTTGAAGACCAGTTCAACTGCACCAGAGGCCTAGCATGGCTGAGGAAGGAGTCTCAGGGGTCCAGTCCATAAAGAGGTGGACAGAAAGAGAGGGAGACATGGAGGTTTGTTGAGGAGACCCTACAAAAACCCCACCATGATGCAGAGAATGCCCCCAGAGAGCCACAGGTGTGCAAACCCAGGCCCAGCTGCAGAGCCCATGAAGGTCCTCACCTTGGGGTACAGGACAGGGTTGAATTTCAGCCCCACTGCGTCGTCACAGAAAGCCTGAGTAGGGAGAGAAACACACCGTTCAGGGACCACATCCACAGTGTACACCTGGGCTCCTCCCAAACGGGCTCTGCTGCTCACTAACATATGCCCAGCTAAGTCAGCTAACCTTTCTAGGGTTTCCTGATAAAGTGAGGGGAGGGACAAAATGAAGCCTGAGACCTGTCTCCGTTCTGACCTGAAGACAATGCCCAAAAGCCAGCCACCCCCTAATCCTACCAAGCGGATTCGGCACACTCTACCTGGCATTCCTGCTCCCAGAATGCCAACCCCAACCCAGCCAAACATCCTTCTCATCCCACTTTGCAAACTTGGTCCCAAGGTCCCAGTATCCTAAAGCAGTGACATGGACCCCTCTGCTGGCTGACAACTCCTCACTAAAGAGGGTGCTCAATCTGGATGATCCATCAGCCCAGCTCAGGCCTCTCCTCTGCCATGAAGGCTCCCCCGGCCACCCTCTCCCCAGCCCGTTGAAGTGCTAAAGCCCTCAACAAGCAACAACAGCAACAGGGTGAGCTGGGGAGGGTGCAGGAAAGATGGAGGCCTCTGCCAACAGTTCCCCCACCCACATCTATGTAGTCAAGGGCCAAAGAGTAAAGTGGCTCTGCCTCTCCAAGGGCAGTGCCCACCTAGGACAAGCCTGCACTCCCACTGCCAGAGGCCAGCCCTGGGCTGACAGAGCAAGACACCTGCTCTCAGGGGTTGGCTTTTACCTTTGCAATCTGAGGGACGCTGGGTAACTTGCTCAGTCCCGCCAAGGGGATCCGCTCATGCACCGTCTTCAGTTTGGACCTGCACATGTGGATACGGTGAGAGAAGGACATTCACAAGAAACAGAGTCATGAGGAAGGAGGCTGAGACCATCCCAGGCAGGGGCACTTGCTGCAGGTCTCTCTGGGGTCAGATGTGCCTCAAACCCATGTATGGGGCACTACTCAGTTGGTGGGAAGATGGACTCCTACCTAGGTAACCCACAGGAGGTGGATACTTAAAGAACATGTCTGTAAATCTGTCTGCCACTGAAAAATACGAATGGCCACCTTCAAGGTTACCATGAATTTTTGGCATTTTGTGTTCTCCCAAAGAAGTAAACACAGCCCCTATTTGTGTTTTGCCACACAATTGAATCTTTATGAAAAGAAACTCTAATGTTTGAAAATATGGATTTACTCAAAATATAAATGGGATTGAGTTTGCTTTATAAAGGGATTCACCACAGGACTCTAAATTTAGCCTGTTCCCCTGATTCATTTAGCACATTATGAAAGTGTTGAATTTTGCTGAATGCTTTACTGCATCTGCTGAGATAATCATATGGTTTTTAATCTGTTAACCTGGTGAATTACATTTCTGTTGAGCCATCTTTTTATTCCATGAGTAAAACTCCACTTGCTTTTGATGTATTATTTTTAATATCCTGCTCAATTTATTAATATAGTAGTACCCCCTTACCCATGATTTCATTTACCATAGTTTCAGTTATCCATGGTCAACCATGGTGCAAAAATATTAAATAGAAAATCCCCCAAAAAAACAATTCATAACTTTTAAATTGTAGGCTATTCTGAGCAATATAATGAAATCTCACACCATCCCACTCTGTCCCGCTCCATCACACTCAGGACGTGAACCATCCCTTTGTCCAGATTATCCATACTGAACACAGTCCCTGCCCGAGAGTCCCTTAGCAACCATCTCAGTGATCAGATCAACTGTCACAGCATCACAGTGCTTGTGTTCAAGAACCCTTATTTTACTTAACAATAGCTCCAAAGTTCAAGAGTAGTGATGCTGGCAATTCAGATACACAAAGAGAAGAAGGAAAGTGCTTCCTTTAAGTGAAAAGGTAAAAGTTCTCAACTTAAGGAAAAGAAAAAAGTCATATGCTGAGCTTGCTAAGATCTACAGTAAGAACAAATCTATCCACGAAACTGCAACAAAGAAAAAAGAAATGCATGCTAGTTTTGCTGTCATATGTCAAACTACAAAAGTTAACAGCCACAGTGCATGGTAAGTGTTTAGATATGGAAAAGACATTTAATTTGTGGGTAGAAGACATCAACAGAAATGTTTTCCTGTTGATGGCAATCAGTTTGAGGACTATCGGAGGTTTCAGGCATCCACTAGGAGTCTTGGAATGTATTCCCCATGAATAAGGGCAAACCAGTGTATTTTACTTAAATTTTCACATCTATGTTCAAAAGCAACACTGGCCGGTTTTGTTTTGTTTTCTTTTCTTATACTTCCATTGCCAGGTTTTGGTAACAAGGTGTTATTCCAGCCTTGTAAAATTACTTTTCGTCCTTTGAAATAGTCTGTATACCACAGGGATTTTTCCATCCCTTAAGGGTTCACTAAAGCCCATCTGTGACATCTCTGGGCCTACTATTTTTTATAGGAGGATACCTTTTGCTACCAATTCAAGTTCTTTAGCAGAGAACATTTAGGTTTTCTATTCCTTATTGGGTCAATTTTGGTAATTTATGTTTTTCTGCAAAAGTACTCATCAAATTGACTAATACAAAGTTGTTTCAGGAATCCTCTTAGGACTTTAGTTGCAGTCCCCACCTTCATTGCTATAATACTATTTATTTGCTCATATCTTCTACCTGTTTTCCTTTAATCAGTCTTAGCCTGAGGTTCATCTATTTTATTCGTCTTTTCAGAGAGAGAGCTTTTGGTTTCGTTGATCATCTCTATTCTTTTTCATTTTTGCTTTCTACTTCAGGAGTCTATTCTTGTCTATTTTATTTCCTTCCTTGAATTTTCAATCAAGAGTTTTTCTGCTATTCTTTTTCTAATTTCCTGATCTACATACGTACTCATTTAATCTTTCTTCTTTTTTACAAGTGCATTTAGAACTATTCTCTCTCTCTACATACCGTTCTAAGTGCATCCCACACATTCTGATAGGTAGTATTTTCACTGTCATTTAGTTCTAAATATTTTGTCAGTTCTTTCGTGATTTCCTCTTTAGCCTATGAGTTATTTAAAAGGGCTTTTTTTAACTTTCCAAATACAAGATTGCTTTCCCTTCAGTATTTTAATGGATTTATAATTCAATTGTTTTATATTCAAATAACATAATCTATATGGATATTATTTGAAATGTATTGACTTAATACATGGACTTTTTAATTTTTCACTTCCAAGTGGGCTTCAAAAAATAATTTTTTCTTTTGTTGAAAGCAGGAATAGATGTGACAAGATCAAACTTGTTAATTGTATCATTCAAATTTTCTATATCTTCCTAATTTTTCCCACTTAATCCATTGGTTTCTGAGAGATAGCATCAAATTCTCCTATTATAACTGAGGACTTGTCTACTTCTTCCTGTATTTGTCAGTATTGCTTTTTTAAATTCAAGACCATATTACTAAGTACAAGTTCATGACTGTTAGATGTTCTGGGTGAACTATTCTCTTGATCATCATGTAGGCTGAGGCCTCTGACGGAGTCTAATAAAAGGCATCTTTCTTTCCCTGCCCAGGTTCTGAACAAATTCAGAAACAAAAAAAAAAATGACAGAGTAAGGCACTGGGAGTCAAAATAGCTCCTTTGTTACTGATAAAGTGGGAGTGCATAGCTTAGTGTGAAGATGAAATAGGTCTTCCTGAACCCCAGAAAGAGCCAAACTCACCCACCCAGTAGTGCTGAGCAGGGTCAAGACCCCTCCCGTGAGGGCTACTCAGGTAACACTAGTATAAAAGACCGTGGAGGGGGGACCCAAGTTCTTGCTTATAAACGCACCAATCAGAGAGGGCAGCAAGAGCCAGGGTGTTACACAAAAGTGTTCCCTCCACACTCTAGGAAACATCAGAAGTGAGGAAGAACTATGCTTTTGTGCTGAAATTCTATTTTGTCTGATACTAATATTGCTATGACAGCTTTCTGTGTTAGTATTTTCCCAGCATATCTTTTTCCATTCCTTTGCTTTAAATCCATCCACATCACTTTTCCTTAGTTACATCTCTTGTAAACAGAATATAGCTGTATTTTCAATTCAGTCTGATAGTCTGATATTTTAATAGGCTAATTTAATCTATTTATAAGTGCTGTGATTATTAACATATTTGGAATTATTTCTAATCTATCATTTTACATTTTCTATTCTCTATGCTTTCTTTCCTTTTTCGTTTTTTTTCTATTTTTCTTCTTCTTCTCTTTTTTCCTTTTAGACAGAGCCTCAAGCTGTCGCCCTGGGTAGAGTGCTGTGGCATCACAGCTCAAAGCAACCTCCAAGTCCCGGGCTCAAGTGATTCTCCTGCCTCCGCCTCCCAAGTAGCTGGGACTATAAGCACCTGCCACAATGCCCGGCTATTTTTTTGGTTGCAGCCAGCATTGTTGTTTGGCAGGCCTGGGCTGGATTCGAACCCACCAGCTCAGGCGTATGTGGCTGGCGCCTTAGCCACTTGAGCCACAGGCGCTGAGCCACTTTCCTTCTTTCAGTTAAATAAAATTATGGGGGGTTTGTTTTCTTTTTACTTTTTTTGTTCTTTTCTTATCCCTCTTCTAATTTTGAAGCTATAGATTGCATTTCTATATCTTCCAATACACATATTTAAATATTATTTTCCAAGAAATTCTAAAACTGTAATCTTTCTCCTCAGGAGGAGAAATGAAGGGAAAAAAGAAGTCTGCTTTATCCATTTATCCACTGAACTCTTCCCTTCCCACTGTCCTTCCTACTTTGGTTTATAAATTTAGTTCAAGCCTTTTTTTTTTCTTCTGATAGAGTCTCACTCTGTAGCCTCAGTTAGAGTGCAATAGCATCTTACCTCACTACAATCTCAAACTCTCAGGCTCAAGCAATCCTCCTGCCTCAGCCTCCCAAGTAGCTACAATTAAAGGCATGTGCCACCATACCCAGCTAATTTTTCTATTTATGGTAGAATGGTGCCTTGCTCTTGCTCAAGCTTGTCCCTAACTCCTGACCTCAAGTGATCCCCCCACCTCAGCCTCCTCAAGTTCTAAAATTTCAAGCCTCTTTTAAAACGTGCAAAAAATTACTTTTCCAGTCAGAAATTAAATGTACCAACAGTTTACCTATTTCTTGTCACTTCTTAATTTTTTCTTTTGGGTTCTCTTTTCTTCTGGTTTAAGTACATTCTTTAGTAATTCTTTCAGGGAGAATCTGTGAGTGGTATCATACTACTTTCATTTTTTTTTTATGCCCGAAATAGTTTTATTTTTTATTTGCTGATAATTTTTCTGAGTTAGAATTACCAGGTAAGAGGGTTATTTTTTTTTCTTTTTCTAAACACTTTAAAGATATTGTCCCTTTGTGTTCCAACAGCTAACATGGCTAAGAAGAAACCTGTTCTTAGACTAGTTATCATTATTTCATAATTTGTCTTTATTCCCAGGTAGCTTTGGCATTTTTTAAATCTTTGATTTCTGATGTTTTGTCTCAATAAGTAGAGAAGTATTATTTTGTTTTAAAATTGTGCTCAGCCCCACGGTGTGCAATTTCTTAAATTCTGAAACATTCTCAAAGCTATTACCTCTTTGAGTATTTGTTCACTAATCTCTCTTTTCTTTCCTTCTGGAACTCTTTGGAGACAAATGCTGGGGCCTCTCAGTCTATTAGCTACGTATCTTATCTTCTTTTTCATACACTTCATCTCTTTATCTGTTCTATGTTCTGGGTGAATTCCTTGGAACTGGTTTCCAATTCACAAACTCATTCTTTGATGGGCTAGATTTTATCCCCAACAATTATTTTTTTATTTATAAAATTCCAATTGCTTTCCTTTTTACCCATGTGTTCTTGGCTCATTTCCCCATATAAT